AATCCAATGTCGTGTGCATGGTGACATATGAAATTATTTTATGTAATCTTAAATAGTTTAAATCAAATTGATAACGCAAGATTGTATTTTATATCATTTCAATGTATGCACTATCTACACAGAGAAAAGGGTATGGTTAAAACTAACAGAATATGGTAAAATTTATCGTGTTTCAGGATCTATGGGAACACTAAAAAGCTCTGTAATTTTTACCAAAGAGCTTTAGTAATGATTCTGGTAAATTAACTATAAACTATGGTTTTACAATATGTGATAAAATTTGGTAAATGTGGTAAAATTTGACAATTTCCTCATGATACTCGAGAGCATGGCATACAAGCCATTTATTCGGTTAAAGTTGCTTTTCAGTTTTGTATTTTTTTGTTCAAAATAAGTGGTAAAAAAGCAAAATTTTAAAAACCAGAGTTTCCATTAAACCGTAACCTTATGTGATATGAGAGGAAAAATTATGAAATGAATATTTTAATTCCGTATATTTCGGTCTTTATTACTAGAATTATGCGGGGTTTTTTTTTTACCAGAAATGTCATTACCATGTAGTACGGTAGTTTTACTAGAATTTTTTTCTCCGTTTAATGGCATCAAATAAGCGTATTTTATATCATCCCAATAAATGTGTACCCAATTATAGCTTAAGATAGATTTGTTTTTTATTAATCACAAACTATCGTTTTACCAGAACAGCATTTCAATGGAATATTAAAAAATACAATTCATGAAAAAAATTATTAAAAAAGATTAAAAAAGCAAAACCTAACAATACAAAAGATATATTCTCCATTCTGAATATATTGAAATCAATTTTTTTATAGTTAAAATTTCTAGCATATTTGAGGTTACCTCCTTGAACCATTATGTTTGAGTCCTAGAACGTGAAGATCAGATCATTAGATCAAAAGTTAATCAGGGTAGTCTTTTTTTTTTTTTTGGCTCACTGTACAAATATATATTTATTGCAAATTGTAAAATGATATGCCGGCTTAAACAAATGAAAACAGCCAATTCAGATATTTCTAACAGGTTCAAACTGATTTTAAAAGTACCACACGTTCACCAAAAGTCAGTAAACAACTCAAAAGGGTTTATTTCATAGATCTGATTCCCTTTTAAGGTCAGCCTCAATTCTGCCAAAAATCAAATCAAGCTCTTTCCCTTGGTTTCATGAAAGTCAAAATAACAACAGGTTGGGAAACCGCACGCTATCGCTTACTTCTTGCTGAGAAATTAGTAAACGGGTTGGGCGATAATTATCTCGCGGTATGTTATACCGTTGATAGGATTTCTTTCGATTACTTCAAGAAGGAATAATTATTATTCCATCAAAACATTGATTTATGATAAATGGTAATCCGACGTCAAAACATGATAAAAGGAAGTATAATAGATACCACTATAACAAAATGAATGTTTGATGTTTTAATTATTATAATGAATAGAGAGAAAAAAATAAGTCTGATAAAAAATATATATTACGTCATTATTTTAACCTACTTATCAGCAAAATCATTCAGATATTATTTAGTTATACCGTTTCAGAAAATTCTTACGTAACTTTTATTTGTGTCCTCTTAAAGCCAATAGTAACCACCGTAGCTCACAATGTTTTATTTATGTTTTCGAAGCTTCTTCAACTGCCGCAAAATTTTTTACAGTTTTTCTGCTCTTAAAAATGCCTCCTATGAAAATCTCTCTCGAAAAATTATATCAATTTGAGAAAATAATAGTTTGATAGAATTTTAAACATGTCTGAGTTGTTTCATCAAAAGTATTACGTATTCGCTATATTTTTAAAAATATTATATAGTTTAGTATCTGATTTAATCTTTTTGAAAATTGCCATAAAATGTGATAAAATCAGGAACTGAATTTGCAAAATAAATTTTGGGTAAAATAGAGTTCCGTCGTCAGTTTCGGAAAATGCTGTCCCGATCATGAAACAAGAATACAGAAAGTGTTAAGCAAATCATTCAATAATTAATCATTGGCTGAATTTAACACAAAGCAAAACAAATTCTATAATTTCCTACCTAATAACTAAGATGTCAGCTCAATATTTCTACTTGAAATGTATTTGTAATATTTATGATGCTTTCCAGGTGTGTAAGCAAAAGTTTCTGAAAATGGTTACAAAAATTAAGACATTTCAACGTTTCAGGAAGTAAATAAAAATAGTTCTGGGATCACTTCATTGCTTCTCAATGCAATACTAAAAAAAAAAGCCTTATTACTATGAAGAAAATAAAACACCTATGTTTAAAAATTCTAGATCAAATATAACTTGTTCATATCTGAAAGAGCATTTACACGATACAAATACTCGAAAACTAGAATTTTGAACAAAAAACATCAGCTGAAGTATAAATCAACAAATTTTTACAAAAGTATAATGCGAGAAATTTGTATCTATGTATGCTCTTCACGTATGCTGAAAATACTAGTTCCAAATTTTCTTAAATGTGAGACTTTTCGAAAATATTTCAGCATCATATAAATTAACGTTTTTGCTTTTAACACACTTTAGTTCCATCCCCAATTTTAAATGCAATATTTCTTTCTTAGACGAGATTATCCTCTTAACAAGATAGGAAACTAAAAATAGCTTTCTAATGCCGAATATTAACTCTTTTTACCACTGTGTTAGCAAAAGTTCTTGTTTATGATGAAATAAACTCAATTTTTGACTCCATGACTGCGACAACTTGGGATTTAAGGATTAAACAGAAAGAAAAAAAACTTTAATAAGAAACATGACTTTGGGTACTTTGTATTTTTAGATCCATACCTTCATTGGATGTGAGATGTTTGGAACATAATTTTTATCCGGGCTGTCAAGTCAAGTGTTAAAGATAGAAAATAAGTAAATGAGAAGAGGGGGGGAATGAGTCCTTCCAACAGCTGAAGAAACTTGTTTTTTAGTAGATCCATCGTCTTTTTGAATCAAATGAGTCAAGACAGAAACACCTTTTTCCCTTCAGGATGAAAAGAACAATGAACGAACATGAAAAGAGAAACAAAATTCTTGTTCTGAAACAAGAGCAAAAAATAAATAGGAGTATTGGATGTGGCAGTTCGTTGCCAATAGAACTTTTCAGAATATAAAAAAAACTGAAGAATAACATCCTGTTTTTGAATGCGAGACTATACGATCGATTTTGAAAACATTAATGAAAGCTGCTCTAATTTTTTTTTTACTTCTTTTGGTATTAGTCTTTACGCAGACGACATTTAATTATGATAATATTACGGATATTTCTGCAATCTCTAACTCATAAGACTATAAACTTACACTAAATAATTATGCCTTCTACATAACCTACACTAAAGCAATCAGTAAACGTTTTTTCTCACACTGAATATCATCTTTTTTACGGTTATTTAACTGTTTCGATTGAATATGGTAAAATAACAATTAAACAAATTACTATTTAACCATTTTTTCCGAGAAATTTCTAACAGTGAGAACTGAAAACTTTTAGAATGTTAATAAGTTTAAATGTATTTGGAGAGTGGTAGGGATAGCTAAAGGGTCATTAACAAGCTATGGATGAAATTACTATTGGATACACATAAAATATTCCTGAATGTTTTGTTTTAAAATAAAAAATTAGTTTACATCAACAGTACCTAAAGAGTGTTCCGTGGAACCCTGGGGCTTCGTGGTAGAGTTAAAAAGGCTCCGCGAGTTAGTACTATTTATAACCTATGTTTTGAAACCTCTGATTATACTTAGATCCAACTTAGAGTTCATAATTTATTTCAACTTTCGGTTGTCTTTATGGAATTATTTTAAGTAGAATGCTAATGAAATAAAAATAGCATTTTTAGAGAAATATAATTTTTTTGCAACATTATATTGAACAAATTATGAAAAAAACAAGTACACATAAAATATTGCATTTTTCAAATCAAAATAACTAAATTCTTTAATAACGAATTATGCTTCCCTAATAACATTTTCAGCTTTTATAACAGTTCTTTTATGTTTTCATTTCGAAGTAAACCATAATTCAGCTAATTTTATTCACTTTTGTGAATATACACCAAATACAAATTTTTAGCTAGATTATATAGAGTACAAGTACTACAAATTGAATTGTCGGAGATATAATTTAATTTAAGATTATTAATGATAAAACAATGAAAACCCTTCATTCCTCTAATTAGGTATTTTTAAAATAGTCTTTTGTAGGTTATACCGTTCACAACGTTATTTATAAAGTCGGGGTTTTGCCGAAAAAAGATTGATTATTTATTCTGGAAAAAATTAGGAACTGCTGGTTTACATGTTTGCCATTAAATGTTTGCATATATTTTCTTAAATTTATGTATTTTTGTAAATATGTAATTTTTTTTTAAAAAAAAGTCTGAAATTTATTAATCAAAAACTTTAACATCTGAGCACATTAGTCCAGTTTTTTTCTTTGAACTTTTAACTGCAGCATTTCCTTCATCAAAGTATTGCATAGTGTAAAAATTGACAGTATGAAGAGGAGTAAAGAATTTAAATTAATGTTCACTGTTTCTCAATGAATAACTCATTTTAGAGGGAATTTTTAAACATATTTTTAATCGAAAACCAAATTCAGGTAGCAGGGAATCCTTCCAAATACTAAAATGGTCGTATAAATGGTAGAAAATTACTGATAAATCATGTTTTGAGTCTTTACCAACAGGATCTCAGCCTCTATTCACCACTCACACCTTGAACGAAAAAATTGAGAGCAATGAAATTCAGCCAAATTTATTTAAGACGGTTGTTGAAAATTTTAACAAAAAAGTGTGTGCGTACGTGCCAAAAGCCCCATATTACCCTTTTTACTATTCTATACTTAACCTTATATTGTACAGTTTAAGAATGAATAAAAAAAAATTTAAATTTTGCGACTCGTTGTATTTTTGAATATATTAATTGGTAAATATGATGTTTAATATCACTCTGTGTTAATTTTATTCTTAATTATAACTGATTAATTTTTCAGACCAAACACGTGTGCTGTAGAAGAAGTTCCAGGTACAAATAAGAAATATTGGACGGAATGCAAGTACTGGATGAACAGAGAAATTTGTGGAGTCAAAACGCAAGTCATTTTTTTTACTAAATTCTTTAAAAATTTGTTAACTTTACTCCAATTTCCAAATAATTTATTCAGATTGCTTATTAATTTGATGAAAATTTTTGAAGTCTAATTTTTTTTAGTTTTGATTTAATATGCTGAATTCTCTTATAATTAATAAACGAAATTTGCTTTAAAGAAATACAGTTATTGCGCCAGCGTACTTTTATTTTACACAAAAATCGCTATTTTACATTAGACAAAAACCGCAATTTTATCTGAACCAAAAATTATAATTACTTAAATGTCACATATTATATGAATAAAATTGAGAATTACCAAAATCGTGAATAATTTATTTATACCTCTTAACCACTTAACCTGAATGCATGTGCATGCATAAGGTGTTTCGTAACGATCATCCTTCGTGCATGTTTTTAGAGTTTTTTGTAAGAAATGAAATCAAAATTTCTTCTGAGTTTTCCTCGTAGCAGAGCGTCTAGTGTTCCCTTAAAATTGTTATAGTGATAATTAACTTAACATCAAAGCAGTGGAAATTCATTCGGTTCAAGAAGCATTTAAATGCCAGAAATTTTTATCCCATTCATAATATAACGCTTTATATGTATTTGAGTTATCGCATCATTGTATATGATCAGAAAGTTAACTTATTAAAAATCTCAAATACGTTTTAAGTCACTGTAATAATTTTTAGGGACATTGCACCATAATTAAAAACCTTTCTCATTCAGATGTGTAACTTATATCACTGTCTCAACCAGAGAATCTCAGCACAGTTTAATGTTATATTATTTATTTTAAATGTGTGAAAAAAAGGAAAATTTTAAAATATGTTTCTTGGATTGAAAAACTTTATGGATTAAAATGATAAGCCACATTTTAAAGTTGCTCAGTTGCGAGCGTTAAGGAAACAATTTCATGAATTTCACATTAGTAATAACATATCACTGTTTGTCCTGCTGTATGAAGAGTATATTTCAGAATCTATCAGGAAACAATATTAATGATTAGCTTGATGCAAAAATGTCATCTGTGTAAAAAGTGTGACCTATAACTACATTGCTCCAAGCCTTATGATATCAGATACTTTATTCGTGTGTTCAAATCATATTACCGATTCAGAAAATGTTACAGGAAAGTTTCAATGATGATATTAAATTAGAGCAGTATTCATTAATTTTTTACAAATTAGCTTTTCAAGAAATTAAAGAAAAACTTTTTTTTTCTTTATCTTTCATTTATTTGAATATTAAAAGCAATTCCATTCATTTGCAATTCATTAGCAATATTAAAAGCTTAATAGGAATTAAAACTAATTTTGCTAAATTTTGATTACAATAAAATTTATTTACCTAAATGTTAATTAACTACAAAGTTAAAGATTTCAACATGTTTAATATGGTTAGAGGTGAAGTAAATTCAATAAATACTAAAAGTCTGCATGCATTGCAACTTTAAGTTTCATTGCAACTTAAGACATTTCATTTTTCACATCAATTTTGTTTAATTTCTTAAATCTTGATAAATAACTCTATTATGTTATAGTTAAACTAGTTACCTGCAGCTAAACTGAAATAGTTAGAAAAAAATTAACTATATTATACCAAAAAATTTAATTAAAACTCACGAGGTTTTAACTATATAGAAAACCCTAATTTAACTATATAGAAATCAAATATACATTTAGATATATGCTTTTAATTTGCATTTGAAAAAATATGTAACTTATAATAATTATAAACAAATATGTCCTCAAATGTTCTCATAAGTTTATCAAGATGAATTTTGAAATAAGCATTTTTAATTAAACTTCCTAAGCATTTTTCATAATATCATAATATTAAATTAGTTCCACTCAAAAGTTATTTAAGTTACTTCCTTTCAGTATTTTAATTTCAATAAAGTAGTCATTTAGCTTTTCGTGTTTAATCCCTTTGCTCGAATTGAAATGTGTTTAAGTGCTACCAAAACAATTTTCAGTTTGTTAAAATATTCTTAATATAGTATTTTAAATACATCCATACTTGTGATTTGCACGAAGAAAAAAATTCTGGAAAAACTACAGAACTGTATGATAATGACATTTCTGGCAGAAAAAAAATCAAAACTCTAATTAATAAAACCAAAATATATGATATTTAAAGCATTCATTTGGTAATTTTCCCGTTCATATGGTAACGGTTTACCAGGGAATTCTGATTTTTCAAAATTATTCATCTTATCATCATGCATTTATAGATCTTATTACTAATAACTTTTGATCTAAGGATCTGATTTTCGTACAATCTTAATGATTCGTGAGACTAACACTAAATATACTAAAATATTTCTTCAAGCGATATTTTGAGTTACAAAATCAGACATAAAAACGTACTTTCTCTGAAAGAAACAAACTTTTTTTCGAGACATTGGGATTCTTGACTCTCAAAATAACGGCGTAATAGCAACTCAAAAAAGAAACTTAACGTTCAACTTAAAGTTCACAATATCTAAATCAGAAGATAGATTAAAATTTTGGGTTCCTCCACTTTTCACGTTTTTCACCATATCTTTAGAATTGTTTAAAAAAATAAAATAAATTCTTCACACAGTTATAAAAATCATTTATTTTGACATAATTCAACTCAAAATTGTTATTTATTTTTATTTATTACAATTTAATATTACGTATTTTAATAATTGTCAAAAAAAAATTTTAATGACAAGGTGTGCACAACGCTCAAACAGAATAACTTTTGATCTAATTATCGGGTTCTCACGTTCTACAACTCAATCGTAATGACCTCAAAGCTAATTAATTAGTGTTAAAGATAAGCATTTGCAGTTATGCTAATTAATTAATGGTAAAGTTGACCTTTTAAATTACGAAATCAGACACAAAAGCGCACTTTTTCTGAATAAATATTAATTTTTTTAATGGATTCAGATTTTTGACCCTCAAAATGCAGGTGGTAGACGCAATTTGGAAAATATTTTCCCCGTAGTTTGATCTGGAGAGCGGTTCATAGTTTGAACCACTTAATGTTAATTTTATTTTTTGCGTATTTTGTCATATCTAGAATACATTTTAAGCGAATTTGAAACATTTTTGCATACAATTATAAAATTAATTCATCTAAATATAATTCCATGCAAAATACAACTTTTAGTAAATATATCTTATTTTTTATTACTTTATTTAAAGATGGTCAAAAAAATTTGAATTGTAAAAAATACAATTTTTTACATCATTTTAATGAATGTAATTCTACATAGCTAAATACAAAATTTGAGCGAAATCGGCAGAAACCTGAGAAATCTAATTTTAAAAATGCCTGATATTTAAAATTCGATTTCTCAGGAATCCATCGAAAAAAAGGTATTTTTATTCAGTACATTTTTGCGTACTTTTTTAACGTTTTAAAGTACGTTTTTGCGTCTGATTTCGTAACTTAAAATATCGTCTTCTATAATAAATTAGCATATTTGAGGTCACCCCTCAAACTATTACGATTGAGTCCTACAACGTGAAGATCCGATCATTAGATCAAAAAATATTCAGGGTAGTCCGTTTTTTTAAAATTAGATTTCTCAGGTAGTATTCGACCGATTTCGCTAAACTTTTCACTTGCAAAGTCACCAATGTTGGCTCCCCCTGTATACCACCAGTAATTTGCAATCCAGAATGAACTGGCGAGATTTTGTTGTTCTTTTCTACACTGCCATACATCAACAGACATAAAAGTTTGATGTTAAAATATGTATGTATATTTTTAATAGTATAATAAGGATAATCATATTTAAGTTTTTAAATATCTGTGAACTGTTTTAAATGATTTTATAGTATATAATTTCCATTTGCTTCCATTCAGTTAAGCCTAGATCAAATTTGTCTTAATATTCAAGCTGTGCTATGCTCATGTTTGACTTACAAACAAATCTTATTTTAAGAATTAATTTATATATGCATTTATTTCATGATTCTCAAGTATCGTAAAAATAAATTTACTGACTCTTATGTGTATCATATCTTACTGCAATTATAAATTTATTGTTCTTGAATAACAAAATGGTGGCGGCCATTTTACACCAAGTAGTGTAGAAGAATATCCTTGGTTTTTGGTGTATAGGAAAACACCTAGATCCAGGATTTATGTATGAGGTTTCACTGCACCATTTGAGTGATAAGTAGTTGCCACCACTTTTGGTTCTGTGATACACTAAGTTTTTTTCTTACAATGTGCATATATTTAAGTAACTAAATGCTCTTTATTTCTATGTTTTTAGAGTTTTGAGATACGAATGCTGTGAGGGATTTCATCAAATAGCAAGAAACGAAGGATGCAATGGAGGTAATTAGAAAACACTTTTTCGTATCCACGTGGAATTAAAAATAAGAAGCGTAAAATTTCACTTTTAAAAAAAAACTGTTTATTGTTCTGAAGGGATCCTGCAATAAAATACCCTCTGTCGTTTTGAAAATCGACTTGAAATTCGCTTATTTGAAATTTTTCAAAGAATGACAAAATATTAAAGTAATAGTAAAATTAAACGCAAATTAAAACAACTTTTCTAATTATTGATTTTATGGAACCTAATATTTTTAGGGGGATTCTAAATTCATACTCGATATCTCTCAGTTTTTATGCGATTTACTAAAGGATAGACAACAGTTGAGACTCTCAGAATAAAAATAGCTGATCAAAACCAAACACTTGAATTTGTNATATATATATAAATTGAGGAAGAATACAAAACAAAACACAAATAGGAACATACAAAAACACATACATTTGGAATGCAGAATGGATGTCATGTGCTTACTAATATCTTGGAAAAAGGATTTTATTTCATAACCGTCGTCGAACAGCTGACCATTTTTTTTGAGTTTATGACTACTAATGTTCAACTCCATAGCCTTGTAATTTTAAACCCGGTCCAGAAGACAAGGTAACTCCTAGATCAACTATTGGGAGAAATTTGCCTTCGTGGAGGACTTTTTGATGAAGCTAACCTGCATTTGCGTTACACGGAGAGGAAAACCTTAAAAACCTCCCACAGTTAGCCTGACGGCAAGGGTACTTTAACCCATGATCCGTCTACCACAGAGGATATTTTACAACAGCACAGTTGTTCGTCCGAGCCGGGTGCTTAATTCATATCGACCAGCTATCGCAGGGATTCGAACCCAGTTCACCTCATTGGAAGGCGAACGCTGTATCCCCAAGACAGTGTTTCAGAAACTTATGACTTTTGTGTACCCTTTCTAAATTTTTCGTAACGCTGTGTACCACTAATAAAAAAATGAATGTATTTTTTTACTATAAAAAAATTTCACAAAAGTTAAAAATCACAACTGGCTGTTGACACAAATTATTAACTATTAACTCTGAAAAAAATAGCCAATAGAAAAATAAGTAATCGTAAATTTTAATGGCTAGCTTTGTTTTTGAACAAAATTTTTTGAAATTTTCGTTTGTTGCAAGATATTTCGTATAAGAACGCGTACCCCCGCTAAACTGTTCCCGTACCCCTGGGGGTACGCGTACCACACTTTGGGTAACACTGCCTTAAGACACCGCGGCTCTTAATTTCACAATTTGTCTAAATTTAAAGCAAACATATTCTAAAAAAGGTTTGACTCACAAAAAGTGAAAATAATGTTTAATCACTCGCCAAACTAAATTATTGGAACCATATTTTCTAGATTTGAGCTACAACTAGGATAAAAAATGCAAATCCGTAGAAAACACATTTTTGTGTCTGATTTCGTATCTTAAAACATCGTCTGTACAAATTTATCAGCTTTTTCATCTTAGTAAGAATGCATTTTATTACACGGCCATTCATTAAGATCGAAAGTTATTAATGTGTTCCGTTTATTTATTTATTTTTTTCTCACCTCACTACTTCACTTCATATTTAAGTAAGCTAAGTAAGCTTCATTTTTTTAGTAATTTTTTTAGCATATTCCAAGTAAGCTAAAATACGTTTTATTTAAAAATTACCAAACATTCATATTTTTTTAATTATTTTCAGTGAAACCTATGACAGATGTAGTACGAACAGCTCGGGATATAGGAGCTACAGTATTCGTCGATTATCTGAACGAAGCAGGACTCACCGATCAACTGAAAAGCCCCGGTGAAGCAATTACTTTATTTGCACCGACAAATGTGGCTTTTGAGGTATGCATCCAAAATCACTTCAAAATAAATTTCCTCATTTTTACAATATTTTTGTAATGAGGCAGATTTAATGTCATATATAATTATCGTCGTATCATGTCATTTGTTGACTCAATTATTCTATTATTCATTCTGATCCATTTAACCTTTTGACGCAGAATTTTCATTAAACATATTTTTCACACTTTTTTTCATCATTTTGCGCAAATTTAGGTCAAAATAAGTAAAAATATTAAATTTACCATTTTAGTAATTTTTTGTTATGAAATACGGCATTGGTCACCGGTGTCTCTTTATGCATAAAAAAGTACAATTTTCCAAGCATGACTCACTTCCGAACAATAATTTTTCCGATTTGCTCTTATTTAGATCTAAAAGAAACAGTAATTTGTGATAGAAATTTATTAATAAATTTTTAAATATAAATGAAAAAAAAATTCAAACTGCTTTTGTTTGGATTTTATATTTTAGAACAAATATAATTCCGAGAACCTAACAGATTTTTTAAGCCACTATTAGACTGCTTTTTATGTTTAAAAAATATCAAAATTTATGTTTACTTGTCATTAGAGTGCAGGAAAAAAAATATTTAAAAGGGTCTCTGCCGGTGAGGTTAATAAAAAGTAGTAAATTTCACTCTCGGTACTTTCGTTAGTCGAATCAACTTATCTATATACACTTAACCAAAAAATATGTTCTGAAATTAGCTAAATATACATTAAAACGTGATAATTATTGTTACAAAATATTATTAAATTAATACTTACTGGTGAAGAATGCTATCATGAAAAGACTGGTTATGTATTAACGGTTAAATAACGTTAACATTAAATAACCGAAGTTTAGTAGCTAACACTTAAGTATACTAATAGACACTTATAGTAGCTAACACTTAATTTTTCAAAAAAAATATCGCAGTTCCAGCAATAGATTCAAATTAGAAGCTTTATATTAATACTATTCCTCTAATAGACATGTTTTGTTCTTCCTAAATAAAGCAAACTATTAAAAAAAATTAGTATGCAATGCAAATCTAGAGAATGGGTACCTATTTTTGAGCGCCAGTTTCTTGGGATTATTTGCTTACTATTATGTTACTTGTTACTGCTCTTTTGAAAATAAGTACTCTTAAACGGGATGCTGGTCACTAAAGAGTTTATTATATTAAACAATAATTTTACTTATTTCAGCAGATTTAAATTCATACAGTGAACGAAATGCCGTACTTTTTAAAAAGGATTAATTGAGCAGTTTTTGTAACAGGAACACTAAAAAATTACACTTCATATTGCATTTTCTTTACAGATTTGTATATAAATCTTTTTTATAATATGGTACTATTTATTTCACTATATGACATACTATTTCACCTACCAAACTTAGGATTTCTTGATTTCAACTGAAACTTTTTATTTGTATGTTTTCTTTAATTCTCCAAACAACAATAAGTATTATCTTTTGACTTAATGTTTTTCCTGATAGAAATATTTTTATAGACTAAAACTAATTCAGCAATAAACAGCCCAGGATTTCCTAATAAATCCAAAGACAAACGATAGAAACATAATCATTAAAGAAAAACAAACAAAAAATTTATTTCTGTCTTTTTCTGACAATCATCCTTATTAGTGTCATTAAAGTTATTTCTTACAATAGTATGACATGCATCTGTATCGGTCATGATATTTCAATTGTTCTTAAGGAAATGCAAAGTGCTATTATCCCCACCTTTTAAATTTGTTGTCTATTAAATTAAGGAAATTTACTAAGAAAAAATTATTTGTTAATTTAAATACTAATATGACACAATTTTTGCTAATGTTCGTGATGATTGTTACAAAAATTGCTTGCTCTATACAATTATGAAATTCATACTTATAATCCATCTCCATAAAATATAGTTTTAATTCTTTCGTTATTGATATAATCAAATATGTAAATTTTGAGATAGTCTCAGAACTTTTTAAACGAGAGCAATCAAAATATTATAATGTGTTTTATAAGAATGATATATTTTCAGCGACTAAGTCCAGCTGATCAGGAAACCCTTCGAGTAAGTCTTTTAGAACGTGAATCGCCATTTTTATTGTATCACGTGGTCAGCGGCAGAAAACTTCATTCTAAAGATTTCAAAGGTGAACAAGAAATCGAAACCTTAAACAGAGGACATAAACTGAGAATCAACAAATATAATCATGGAGTAAGTGGCTTTATTAAAACATTTAATGCAACATTAGTCCACTCAATTTTATATATGGCATGATACAATCTAATATCAATTGCTACTTATAATATCAAAGTAATTTAACTTTAAATACTTTGATATTATAATTACTTATAATAACATTTCATAATCAAAGTGTTTACTTATTTCTTAATTTATATTATTTTGTAAGTAATATTTATCAATGTATTTAAAATAATCTTCGGGAGAAATAAATAAAAAATAAAAATGCAATCATTATTGCTTTAATTTATTTTACAACTAAAAAAATAATGTGAATCAATGGCAGTCAGTTAAGAATAAGTGACAGTCAAGCAAATTTCAAGCAGTTGTCACTGATATTAATTTCTTACATGAACTAGTTATTTTGTAACAGTTCTTTTCGAATATAAAAGGTGTACCTCAAACTCCGCTCTTGACACATATTTACAGAATCCTAACAAGAAATAAAAATTCTTCATATCTCTCAGCATTTATTAATTAACAAATTATGTTCTTCATTACAAGAGGTTATTGTAAAAGCTTTAAGATAATGTTGCTTTTTTATACTTATTTTCAATTTGTATTTATAAAAATATTAATTTATCGGAAAACAAATATTTTCTATCATAGATGTAGGTGCGATTAATCTAATAAACTTTTTTTTATTTCACTTTAATTCTAACTTATATAATTTGTAATATTTTTAAGCAGAGCTGTGGAGTTGGTAGTTAAAATATTCGTCTCCTTTATACGCACATTTCTACATAAATAACCTAATCATATCGTTACAAAAAGATTTCTTTGGTTAATATTTATGAATTGGAAAACTATTATAAATCATTCATACAATTCATTTATCAATTATTACTTCATTAACATCGATAGTTCAAAATTTTAAAAAATATTCTGTGATCTCTTTCATAACAGAAAATAAACTTAAAAACGTTGTAATAAATTAAAATCTTTGAAGTTTGATTGTAATACGTTTGCGATAAGTGAAAATTTAAATAATTTTCAAGGGAAAATAGAATTCAAATTTTCAAAGGAAAATAGAATTCAAAGGAATTTTAAAAGGAAATTTCAAATAATTCTTTAAAGTAATATTTTATGTTCACTTCTTAAAAAATATTTGCCTCTTTAGTTCTTATGACATTTAAAACTTCTTTTCTTTTTTTTTTAACTTATGAGACCTTACTTTCAACTAACTGGAGTCGGAGGTGATTAAATCTGTCCGACTCCAACTCTAAATCTCATAACCCTAGTTCTAAGCATGTTCTATGTAATATTATGCATAAGTTTTATTTTTTGAAAAATAAGACCTAGCATAATTTATATCACTCAAACAGATGACGAAATTATTTTATTATCAATTTTTTTCTTTTTACTCTCATTGTCGCCACCCTATAGTAATTATGGCAGGTACAAATGTTCTAAAATGTGTGAGGATTTAATCATTCTAATATTTTGTATAGATGACTACAGTTAACTGTGCTCCAATGGTCCGAAAAGATCAGCAAGCCACTAATGGCATTGTTCATCTAATTGACGAGGTTCTCATTCCTCCGTTTGGAGCTGGTGGTCGACCCTCCATACCTGAAACGCTATTCAGTGATGGCCGCTTCAGAGAAATGTCCAGATTTATGTTGACATCCAATTATGTGAATGACTTGCGCCAAGGTGGACCTTTCACTTTGCTAGCACCAACAGATGAAGCTTTTCAGAGTATTAGTGCTAGCGAACTAGATAGAATTACCAGTGATCCGGAAGCTCGTTTGGGTGAGTTTCTACCTCTAATACTAGATGTCCAAAAAAGAGTGTATGCTTTTTTTTTCTTAAATTTCAATGTTGTAAAAATATATATAATGTTGTGAAAAAGCAACAATTATATAGGAAGCAGCACATCTGATAAATGTGCCACTTTTAAATACGAATTTCGAACCAGCTTTCATTGATTTCTTTTTTGTGTAATCACATTTATGTGACAACAATTGATCTTGTCGTAAAGATGACCTCGAAATCACTTTTAGAGATGCACCGATCTAATTTTTTTGAGGTCAAGTCTATCCTAAATCCAGATTTAATGCGTCAGAAAATGTCTAACATTTTAGAAAGTTAGGCTTCGCAGATAATAAAAATTATTTGAAATAATCTATTTTCTCATCAAGATACTTTATATAATTTCATATTTAAAGCGTATTTAAGTAATAATTTTTATACTTCTTTATATTTAATAACTTAGCAGAATAGATATATAGATATATGTTTAGTTTGAGGATCGTAATCACGTGCATCAGCAACCAGAAAATTTCTTTCATTTGACATGCCCGTCAAATTTCTATCATTAGTATGGTTGATTGAACGACATTTGACTCACATTCGAGTATTTTTAAATTAAAAATTATAACATCAAGTCTATAAACATTAAAGGAAGATATTTGACGTTGTATCTGTTGTGTTTTCATAATTTCCGAACTTCAAGAAAGTCGAAATACAAAGTTAGTAGGAAAACTAAAACTAGTTTTCCTACAGACAATTATGAAATTTTAGTACCCATAATGACATATCGTACTTGAGAAAAAGCACGAAACTCGTCTAACGGTAATAGGACTCTAATCTAGAATCTGTCACTTGCATATTTCATGTCGTCACTAGACAAAAGTGACTTCAAAGAGGCTAAGAGTATTCAATTTTACTCACCAGGAAATCTGAATATTAAAAGATTTAGTTTCAAATATTATTGAATTACTGGCAATAAATCCAAATTCAATTCCTCATTCACAAACAAATTCTATCATTTGTTTCTTCCTCTATAATATACTTTTATTTTATAACCACAGTTGAACAAACGGCCCTGAGTGTGAAAGTGACCCGCCCTATAAACGGGTTGTGGTTGAGTGAATGGCGTGGCGGAAGTCGAATTCCTGGCCATAGATGGCACCACTGAAAAGCAGGAACAATCGCACCCCCACTGCCCTAACAGGCATACGACAAAAAAAACGGCTCTATTTTGAATTTACGACAACCGATGTTCAACTACCAATGTTCAATGAGGCTCTAACCCATGATCCGTCTACCACTGAGGATATTGTTCGTCAGCACTGTGGTCGGTGCGAACTGGGTGCGGAATTCGAATCGACGAGCCATCGCCGGGATTCGAACCTGGTTCACTTCATTGGAAGGCGAAAGCTCTATCCCCTCAGCTACCAAGGATCTAAATTACTATTATTTTATAATTTATAACAGTCGTTGAACAGTCGACCGAATTTTCAGTTTACAACTACCAATGTCACGACTCCGTAGCCCTGTAATTTTGAACCCAATCCAGAAGAGAAGGATACTCTTGAATCGAGTAAAGAAGAAATTTGTCTTCGTGGAGGACTTTTTGAAGGAACTAATCCACATTTACGTTACATGGAGAGGAAAACCACGAAAACCTCCCATGGTTAGACTAACGGCAAGGGGTCTATAACATATGATCTGACTACCACTGAAGTTATTTTACGTCAGCACTGTGGTCGGTGCGAACTGGCAGAGGAATTCGTATCAACCAGGAATCGCTATGATTCGAACCTGGGCCACCTCGAGAGATGTACTCTATCGCCTGAGCCACTACGACTCTATACAATATACTTGTTGCACGAATTGTTATTGACGAACCTTGTTGACTTCTTCATTCGTGACTTTGTTCAATTAAATTAAAGCAATTTAAAATGTAGGCTTTATAGCTTTAAGAGAATTATTCATGTTTTGAAAAACTTAAAAGAACAAAAAGAAATGTAATCATATTTAACGCTACTTTGCCTAAAGGAAGTTATTTTGACTGCTTTTTAACTGCTTTTTCATTTGCAAAAAATCTACAAATAATAATGCATAAATTAATATTTCCTTTCCAAGTGAAGTAAATTTTTTTATTGTTAATATTTACTAATAACTTGTTATATAACTGTAAATAATATAAAAGATATTAAAAATTAATTAAACAGATTTCTTTACGCATTATTTGTTCTTTCACAATGCAATCATTTTGACTGCTTTTGGACAATATAGGTATATACTAAGTTTCAGTCCTTCTAGTGTTAAGAAAACATTGATCTATGTTTTTTTTTTCTTTCTTTTTTTCTTCTTTTTTTTTAAGAAAGAATATGGTTTTCTTGCTTTGAAATTTTCAAAGGCGCTTTCGACTATGGTCAGTGCAAACCAGGAAAAGCAGTACGATTCAAATTTAAATAACCTACGTTAATTGGAATATTTTCACTGAGTCATATAATTCCCAAAAAAAACAAACGTTGGAAACTTTTTACAAATGACCCATAAGATAAAAAGAACCTTCAAGAATCACTTCCTCAGAAGCATCTTGAATATAAGAGGAATATATGAATATAAGATGACAGGGAAAAATAATGAGAAGATTAATTTAACTTTATACTTCCGGTTTAAAACACTTTTTAAGTTATTATATTTAGTAAGTATTTAAGTTATAATACTTGCATTAGTTTCTCGATGAATTATAAATAAATTGCGACCATAATGTATATTTTATGTAAATTTTGTTTATTATATGAAATTTTGTATTGTTTAAATTGTTCTCTTCATAATTTTGAACATCTTATTTATATAGCTCTGATGAAAAACCATATAATTCCACATACTGTTTGCATACCAGCTGTGATTGACACTCACAAGATGAAGAATATTGCTGGTCAAAAGCTGCAACTCTCCTGCAACCAGTCCGGCGTGTATGTAGAGGATGCAAAAGTGTCAAAAGATCAAATGATGGCTAAGAATGGAGCTATAAGTGTTATTTCAAAAGTACTGATACCCGACAGATGTAAGTCTTATAATTTTTTTAATGAAATTAATTAAGATTAAATTATATTTTCATGTTTTTATAACCGTCGTTGAACACTCAACCCAATTTTTTGGGTTCACGACTACTAATGTTTAACTCCGTAACCTTGTAATCTTGAACCCGATCCAGAAGACAAGGAAACTCATATATCAAGTATTAGGAGAAGTTTGTCTTTCTGGAGGACTTTTTGATGGAACTAAATCGCATTTAGGTTACATGGACAGGAAAACCTCCCACGGCTAGCCTGATGGCAAGGGGACTCTAACCCTAAGGATCCGTCTACTGCTGAGGATATTTTACGTCAGCACAAGTCGGATGTGGAATTCGTATTGACCAGCCAACGCTGAGATTCGAACTCGGTGCACCTCATTCGAAGGCAAACGCTCTAACCCCGGAGCCATCACGGCTCTATATTTTCATGTTGTTTAATTTCGGTTTTTTTTCTTAAACTATTTCAAATATTTGGACGATAGCTTTGACATGTCATTATCAGGACTCCACGATGGATGCGAATTTTTTTTTCGGTTATATCACGTAAAATCATCACGTCGGTTATATCACGTCGGTTTTTTAAAATAACTCAGGTACCATTTAAGCTTCATCAAAATGAATAACGATTTCAAATTCACTACTTTAAAATCGACATAAGAAGTTTTGTTTAATACCAAGATTTTATGCTACATTTTTACACTTTATGTGTTCTTTATGTTAGCCTTCTTCTTTAAATAATATGTTTTAAAAGAAATTATAAGGACATAGAATTCTTAATTGTATTGTACTTTTCAGCCCGTAGCGTGATGTCTTTACTGGCAAGGCGTCCGGAACAAGTATCGACATTTACTCGTTTGCTGAGAAAATCTGGCGTCGAAGCTTATCTCAACAAACCCAATATCTCAGTTACTGTCTTTGCACCTTCCAATTATGCATTCAATCAAATGCCAGAAGAAGAATTTTCTTTACTGGATGAAGATCAGCGGTGAGATTTCACTTAAGTTTAGTTTTTTTTTAGACAGTGCAAAAGGACATCAAATTTCTCATTCTTATGGAAAAAAAATGCTCTTTAAACTGTTTCTAAGGCTTTTAGAGCTGATATAAAAAGACATATAAGCGAACTTTTCATAGAATGCAGAATTTTAATTGTTCTGTAATGCTGATCTATATCTCTTGCTTAACCTAAAACAATCGCATGATGTTTGACAATTAAATACCTACAAGTGACGTCATCGTTAATCATAAATCATGGCATTTGCCGCTTCAGAAGCTTTAAGGTCCAATATACACGCGTGACGTAGCTTACATGCATCCAATTAGATCCGATTTAAATCACGTGGTTAGGCATAATCACTTCACCTCTTTCTGAGTTGCAAGTGTAAGTACACAATTTCTATGTAACCAACAAAGAATTCCTAGCTTTTGTCTACAAGAACTGCCAAAATTTAACTTTGAAAGAATCAAAATAAAACATGTCAAAAGAATTTTTTTCAATGACGGGCACTTGGGTTTATTTCCCATTGGCCTCAGAAATGCCAGAATTACTACCGTGGCTTAGGCACCAGTGCCTAAGCCACGGTGGTGGAGTAGGGTTGCCCACGTCATACAACCGCAAGCCCATTTATAGAACGGGTTATATTCACACAATACACAACATTGAACACAAAAATTTAAATATTTAGAAAAATAAAAATACAAGTTCAATGGCGCACGAACAACATGTCCATAATGGGAAAGCGCCCCTAGCAGCGTAAGATGACATTTCCGGTCATGGTTTCTTATGTAATTCTTAATCTCTATGGTGTGTCTTACTTCCCCTTGAAGTTTGACGCAACATTTACGGAACATTACTTATAATGTCTTTAAACTCGTACATTTCGACAAAAAGTAGACTGAAAATTTCGTTCAGAAATAAAACTATAACTTGAAGAGAGTATCTGGCTTCAGATTTAAAATCAGCGATATGAAAGTATCTAAAATCTGTTAAAAAATCTCATGCAACGAAAAATAAAAATTGTTCGCCAGTGTAATTTTAAAAGAATACAAATTGCAATGTTTAATAATAAAATCTAGTAGCGTAATGTTAAAAAGAGGTGTCCATTTGATGAGTTACTCACGCATTTAACGCTTTTTTTAGAAAACTTGAAGAACTAATGAAGCACCATGTAGTCATAGGAAGAGTGAAAACAGAAAGTATTTCAGATAATCAAAATGTGGATTCAATTGATGGTCGAAATGCCCTCCGCTTGAAAGTATACAGAAAAGTAAGTTGTACTCTGTATGTACTCTGTAAATATATATGTTTTAGTATGTACTCTGTAAATTGATCAAACAAGTTATTTGCGAACTTAAATTATATTTTTTGAAGAAAGAGTTATTCCATTTCAATCGAATACAGAATTCCAAAATGATTTAAATATTCCGAAGAAGAATCAGAGCTTTGATAAAAGAGGGGTTACTAATATAAACGAGAAAAAAAAACCAATTTAGTTATTTTTCTTAACCTTTTCAGGGGCGGCAATATAAACCACAATGAGAAATATAATAGGTTTTATCTCTTAAACAAAGTGAGTTTTAATACCTCACTTTTTATTTCGAAAAATATAAAGTAAATCGCTTCATTGTGGATATGCATACGATGACTATAATTCTCTTAGCTTTTCATTATAACGAACTGCTGCTAGCAAAACTTTTTCAATTTTTTTAAATCATTATTTTTTTCTATTGCAGTTGAAGTTACTGCGTCTAACGAAATTTGAGAGTGATAACAAACAGCTTTAACGAATGAGAAAATTTCGGAACGAAAAAGAAAGATATCGAGTCTGGAGAGCTTAATTTCAAACTTCGTCTAATTGTATCAAGCTATTTTTCGTTTCAATTTTTTACTACCAAAAAAACGCACCAAACGTCACCGAAAATGCACGAATTATTAATTTCTTTAAAAATGAAAATTGAAATTTATTTTAAGTTAATTTGAAAAATTTTACAAGAAATAGCAAAATAACATTAACTGTTTATATGCCATATAATTGATAAAAGTGTTAAGTATAGCTATATTTCTCTCCTTCTCTCTCTTTCATTTTGTTACGTTTGAACTAACAAACTTTATTGAACAAATCAGAAAATGGATAACTTCAAAAATAATTAGAATAAACATATATTCATCCCCCAGACGATGTATCCTGTCCAGATGATTAAGTAGAAAAATACATAACAAATTTATTTAAAAATAAATAAATAAATAAAATAGAAAAACTAAGAATTACCAAGTATTTATACGCATAATACATACACTTATTGAAACTTGTTCAGACACATATTTGAAAACTAAATACATATCGCACACAACATACTATACATTTATAAATAATATGTTGTGTGCGATATGTATTTTTACTTCTGTCAATAAATATTTTTTTCAACCATAGATAAATTTTGAAAATTTCATGAGTGCCTTTTCTTTAAAAAATTATGTGTGCTTTTATTTCATGATGTGTGCTTATGAGTGCTTTTACCTTTAAAAAATCCTTACTGAATACTAGGAAAAAAAACTGTATGTTTTAAATTATTGTACATTTTATTAGTTAGAACTTTTCTACAATTTTTGAGAAAACTGTTAGGTATTATAAGTAAAATAGGTCTATAATTTGATAAACAGTTGTCACTAGATTTGAAAATGGTAGTTAGGAAATGTTGCTCTTTTTTAAAGAATTTAAAAATACCGGATGAATTAATTGAAGTGTTTATGAAATTCGTAATTATAAATTATAAAATTGGCATTATTAATAGCAAATAATCGTTTATTAATTTTATATTAAAACCGTCATAATCATAGGAACTATTCTTAGTTACATGGGAAATGTTGATCTTTTTAAAGAATTTGAAAATGCAGATGAATTAAATGAAGTGTTTATGAAATTTGTAATAAAATTGGCATTATTAATAGCAAATCGTTTATTAATTTTATGTTAAAACTGTCATAATCATAGGAACTATTATTGGAAAAAGAATGTATTATGTCGAGTACATCACACTCATTTAGTTTAAAGAAGACAAAAGAGGTTAAACTTGGCAAAATATAAATTTAAAAATTGCTAGAAGTGCTGATTGCATTTACAAATGTTTTATTATATTGACAGGAAGAATCATAAATGCTTAAAATTTCAGGCAAAACAGAAGACTTATTTTTGTCACCAATATATTTACAAGATTCCATTTTTGATCATTTGAATTATAATTCATAAATTTGCTTTCAAAGTGTATTCTGATTTTGAAGATTGAATGACATTTTTCAATTCACTGACCAGATCCCAAGGATTTTTTCTAATTTCTTAAATGGTTTTTTTTCAACGAATTATAAGCAGATTTCTTTTAGTTATCCAGTTTTTTTAGGTCGTTTGTTTAGTTTAACTGAGTATTTGGAGGTTCTTTTTTGTATTGATAGGTTTAAAAACTAAATTCTCAAGAGAATCCTTAAAATTCCAGTCAAAATTGTAATTCAACAAATAATTATAAAATTCAGTACAATTTATTGACATTACATTTATAGTTTTGTTAGTTGTTATTTATTATTTTAATTGTATACACTACAGAGAATCGAATAATGATTAGTAACATCATTTATAAGTATTTTTGATTTAACTAAAAATTTGCTAGTTTTGACTAAAGTATAATCAATGCAAGTGGAAAATTAAGAATTTGCTCTGGTGGATTTGTCAGTATAGTTTTGAAAATCAAATTGCCTTAAAGTAATATATTCATGAGAATGAAATTTAATATTTAAATCTCCTATGAGTACAACATTGGGATATTTGAAGTCACAGATAATTACATTTAGTTCAATATTAAAAAAAATCCATTGCAAAATCATGCTATCGATAAAGAGAGAAATAATAACTTTTACTCTTTACTATACAGTAATAAAAATTAAGCTGATATAAAGTGTAATTTTAATTTAGTGAGGTTTAGAAATTTTTCAGCAAAGACAGCAATACCATCAACGATTATTATTTCTATAATAAAAAAAATTATATCATTATTATCGACTGAATGAATCTTTTTTCATTCAGTCGTTATATAATTTATAATTGTAGATCCAATAATTGTAGATCTAATTTCCTAATTCATAATTGTAGATCCAATTATAAACGATTATTATTTCTACAATAAAAAAATTTTATCATTATTATCGACTGAATGAAAACTTTTTTCATTCAGTCTTAATATAATTCATAATTGTAATTCTAATTTCCTAATTCATAATTGTAGATCCAATTTTCAACGATTATTATTTCTACAATAAAAAAATTATATCATTATTATCGACTGAATGAAAACTTTTTTCATTCAGTCTTAATATAATTCATAATTGTAGATCCAATAATTGTAGATCTAATTTCCTAATCCATAATTGTAGATCCAAATTTCAACGATTATTATTTCTACAATAAAAAAATTATATCATTATTATAGACTGAATGAAAACTTTTTTCATTCAGTCGTAATATAATTCATAATTGTAGATCCAATTTCCTTATTCATAATTGTAGATCTTATTTTAAGTCAGAATTATAACTGATATATTATCAAAAATATTTGTGAATTCAGAAATAAAATTGTCTAAGTTAACTTCTTATATTGACATATGAAATATTAACTATATATTATAATATAATTACATAAAATATTAACTTTTAACTTACCGGTTGACGTTCGAAAATGACTTAAATCATCCAAGTTTTCAATGTCTCAATAATTTGGCAGTCCGGAGAAAATTAAGATATTTCATTAGATGAATGAAATATTGTTGATGTTACTTTCTTGTCTTTACACTGTAAATTTTGGATAATTCATCTTTTCGTATAAATATTTTCCCGTCTCGAATCTAACAGAACTTCAATCCCTTTTCAACTTTAGTTGTTCGCGAGTAACAAAACAAAGCGTTAAAATCAGGAGTGCTTATTGAAATAAATGGGCGTTGCAGTGTTCAACTTCAGATGCTGTTAGTTTATGATATTTTAGTTCATCTCGTTTAGTTCGTCTCGTATTGTTTTGCATTTTACTTAAACAACGATAGATTTTGGTTTTTCTTAATTGAAACTGGGAACTCAGTGGGCTATGATTAAATTCTCGACTGTCTGGGTATTGAAAAGAGTATCAAGCTGGGATATTTTCATTTTCAGATTCTTAAGCTACTGTTCAAAATTCGGTCTGCGAGAATACTGTTTTAATTAAAGCATATAACTTCGTATAGTTCGCCGATTTCTTTCTTTATTGCGCAGTTTCCGCGAGTTAGTTCATCATTCCTTGCTTGTAGACTTTTGGTTTTATTTTGAAGTTCTGTGATAGAATTTTTTAACTCCTTCATAACTTCGCTGCTGAATGCAAGTGAATGGGTCAGTTAAGTGAATTAGTTATTGATGAGATTCTTGAGACCTTTGTTTAGCTGTAAAATATCATCTGAAATATCTAAATCATGACTTGATTTACTAATAGATTTACTTAGATTTAATTAACTATTTTTTTAAAAGCTAACTCAAAATATTTGGTTATTTAGCATTAATGTTATGTGTAATATATACTTTGGATAATTAAGATTAATTTTGAAAGTAGGAAAAAAATACATGCCTATGATTTCAAGATTCCATTGGATAAAAATATAATATATATTTGTATATTAATATATATAATAATACAATAGTTATAAAGTCTAAAAATATTTTTAAAAAAATAACGGGCTAGCAAAAGCATAAATAAAATAAAAGAAACACATAAAGAGATAAATTTAAAAAAATAAAAGCAGACGATAAAATTAGAACAGAGAGTTTGATAAATTTAGACTTTCAGCCAATCATTACAAACTATTACCTGGATGTATCTAATTACGTTAGGTACAGGAAATCTATTATAAATCAAATGTTCGATGCAAATAACAAACTGCTGCAAAATATAAATGAATACATTGCAAATTCTCATCAACTATTTGCGTTATATTAATTAGTACCCTACTCCCCGAAATTCTTAAATTTTTCACAGAAAAAAAATGGTATCAAATTCTTTTGCAAAATACCTCAACATTTGGTCTCACATACAAAGAATATTATTCAAAAAATTATTATTACAGCAAAAAATATTTCCGTAGTAGAATTTCGCAGAATAAAAAGGGCGATATTTTTAGTTTTGACCCTGTGTGTGACCCAACTTATATTTATTTCGTTATTCGTAGAAGTTATTTATTTACTAGTTTATATTCATTTATTGTTGGATTTATTCATTCATTTAGGAGTTATTTCATTCATTAAAAATTTCAGTTAGTAACTTCTATTTATTTTATTTCATTTCATTTGATCTATTTATTCATAGGAAGTAGGAGTGGAATCTGCAATTCTCGAAGATTCTGATATCGAAGGTCAGAACGGCGTTCTTCATATTATAAATAGAGTATTAACACCACCAAATCACAGCGTCATGGAATTACTGCAAAGCAAGGTTGAATATAGGTAACTTATCGTTCACCAAAATTAATATTGCCAATTCTTTCTTTTTTCCTTAGTAATTTATAATCTTTAACTGTATATATTTTTGTTTTTATATAATGCATTATAAAACATTTTATTTTATTTTACTTTATTTTATTCATTTTTTTTATTTTATTTATTTATTTATTTTATTTTATTTATTTATTTATTTTTTATTTATTTTTTTATTTTTTTTTATTTTTTTTTTTAAGTTTGGAAACTCTAACAATAATTTTTTAACTTCTTCCGAGATAGGGTGCCATCCCCTCTGCAGAGGATCAAAATTGTGATGGCATGTCTTCGGATCATCCTCAGGGATGTTTCCCAGACCGTCGCCAATAGCCCATTGTGCAGCTCTAGTGCGGCGTAAATTAACTACAACAACAACATCTTCCGAGATAGAAGTTAGAACTAATTGAACGAAAAACAGTTTTTAAACTTTCCAACAACGTCTGATTCAGAGCCGCGGTGACTCAGAATTCGAATTCCAGGGGTGGCTGGTCGATAAGAATGCTACGCACGTTTCGCACCAACCACAGCACTGAGATAAAATATCCTCAGTGGTAGACAGATCATGGGCTAAAATCTACTTGCCATCAAACCAACCGTAGAGGTTTTCCTCTCAAACACAAATACATGTTAGTTTCATCAAAAATTCATACACGAAGGGCTAGTTTAACCCAATGCTTGATCCAGAGTCGTGGTGGCTCAAGGGATAGAGGGTTTTCCTTATAAGGAGGTGATCCACATCCCAATCCCAGCAGTGGATGTTGATATGAATTCTGCTCTGAGCTTGCACCGACCACAGTGCTGACGTAAAACATCTTCAATGGTAGACAGATTATGAGTTAGAATATCCTAGTCATCAGACTAACCGTCGAAGGTTTTTGTAGTTTTACTCTCCATGTAATGCAAATGCGAGTTAGTTCCAATCAGGGGCCCCCATCAGGGGGGAAGGTGGGCGTACGATGCGCCCACTTAAAGCTTGGGGGGGGGGAATTTTTACACTAAATAAAACGAATAGTTTGGAGGGGATGGGGGCCACTGGTTCCAATGAGTCTTCCACGAAAAGTAGTTTTTCCCAATGCTTTATTAAGGAGTTTCATTTTCTTCTAGGTGTGGTTCAAAAATACAAGGCTACGGTTTAACATTGACAATCGTAAGCTTCAAAAATGATCGACTGTTCAATTCTGATAATTAAATAAATTGAAAAGACTGATTAGAAATTTCGGTTTGTCAACTATTTCCATTTTTTTTCTCTTTTATAAACGAAACGTGCAATGTATGTTATCTTGTTTTCGATATTTATTATAAAATAACTAAAATAAGGTTTCAATAGCATTTTTTATGATAATGACTGGAATTGGGTTCTCAATCATAATAAATGATGCAAATCATCGACATAAGTTTGTTAACTCGAATCAATGTGACTCTCATTTGAATCAATAAATTCGAATTACATGATTGGAACCAAAATTCTAACAACTTAATCAGGCTTCTTAAACTTTCTGTATTCGACTCCCTTTTACTAATGGTCCCGCAGTGGATCATTAAAACACGGTTCCCAGCAAATCACCGAAATCAAGCATCACTGGCTGCGGTTACTGTGCGGGTGGGTGACCACTTGAATCAGTCTAAGTAGGGACCGAGGGTGTGCGGTATTGGTCCTCGTTAAACTGTTCTACCGTAAAGTGCTCGACTTCGCGTGCAGATCGTCGGGCTACCGAAGCAGGAGTGCCATCCCCTCTGCAGAGGATCATCCTCGGGGATGTTTCCCAGACCGTCGCCAATAGCTTATTGTGCAGCTTTAGCGAGACGTAAATGAACTACAACAACAGCCCTTTTACTTATGATACGTTGGGATGGTTATGTTAATATAGTTACAAACTGTAAACTTCATAATACGTTATGATGAATGATTGAAATTTATTGTGGCTAAAGCAAGAGGTACGATTTTTCTTGTTTTCCAGTGGCGCCATCTATGGTCAAGAATTCGACTTCTATCACACCCATGCGTCACACCCGTTTTTAGGACGGGACGGGCCCATTCATACATCCACATATCACGATTTTGACTTGAACCAGAGAACGATCAATCTCCAATTCAGTACCCCCAGAGGTATAATTTGTTGAGGGAATATAGAGAACTTTGTGATCCGACAGATTTAACGTGCTCCAGTCACCATTTACTACACAGTTTCGGTCGGCTGGATGCGAACCCCCGTTCTCACGAACGTAAGTCTATTGCCCAGCCAACCATGACATACCGGCCCAGCCGAGATCATACACTTGTAATATCATCTGATGTCTTACTTGCCCGACCCGGAACATATAGCTTAACTTACTCTCTTTTAATTTATTTCTCACTATTATTTTTAATTCTGCGAAATCGCAACTAATTTATTTCATTCTAAAATTCGTCCCGCAGTGGACTGATCGTTAAGACACGGTTCCCATCAAATCACCGAAGTCAAGCATCACTGGCTGCGGTCAGTGTGCGGGTGGGTGACCACTTGGATCAGTCTGCGTAGGAACGGAGGGTGTGCGGTATCAGTCCTCGTTAAACTGTGCAACCGTAAAGTGCTGGACTTCGCGTGCAGGTCGTCGGGCTANCACTTGGATCAGTCTGCGTAGGGACCGAGGGTGTGCGGTATGGGTCCTCGTTAAACTGTGCAACCGTAAAGTGCTCGACCTCGCGTGCAGGTCGTAGGGCTACCGAAGCGAGGATGCCATCCCCTCTACAGAGGATCAAAATTGTGATGGCATGTCTTCGGATCATCCTCAGGGATGTTTCCCAGACCGTCGCCAATAGCCCATTGTGCAGCTCTAGTGTGACGTAAATGAACTACAACAACAACAATCATTCTAAAATTCGATAGTGCAACAATCATAGATTTTCCAACAGAAAAATCTTTGTTCAAAAAATTATTATTATTAAATAACTAATTTGCCTGAACTATTCTATTATCAAAGCATTTTATCTGTTAAAAATCAAAAATTATTTTAAAGAAACGAAAAGTTGACTACAGAAATTTTTTAGCTAATTTTTGTCAAGAAATAGAACAGATTTTGTAAAGCAACACTCTCTCTTTATAATCAATGATTACGATACATAATTCTCTCCATCTCCAAAATTGACGGAACACATTATTTAAAAAGCTCTGGTCAATTCGTATCTTAATCGTTCCTATTTCTTTAACTTGGTTGATAATTCATTTTACAATTAATTAAGTTCGGTACCATTTCGGAGATTCGAAACTTTATTTTAGCATCAATTATTGTTTGGAATATTTAAGTGTCGAATAATAATTCGGAATTCGAATCAAATTTCTTTCATTCGAATTTATTTAATAATCATTTTTAATTAATTTTGTTATAACTAGTATAATAAGATATCCAATCTGAAATCATTGGTTACAAAGACGCAAGAACAATTTAATTTAAATCCTGAATATTAGTTATCGATGCCTGTGAGACGGCTAGAACGAAGTGTGTTTTTCAAGGCAAAATTTTCATTTTCAGTCTTCGCATATCAATTCCAATCAAGAGCAGTTCTTGCAGTGATTGCTAATCCCATACATTACAAAAATGTCACGCGCAACTTTTATTTACCACAACTAAGGTATTGAAAATACTCCTTTCTCTCAACTTGGCATTCCGTTTCAATGATCTGAAAATTAACATTAATTAACTCGAACAAAAAAAAAAAACAAAAAAAAAGGTTCGGATCGAAAGGTACAAGATATCCTCTTTCGAATGGTCTTAATCTGTTGACATTTGAGAGGCCATTTTTTGAAACGCAGAATGTTACTATTTGTTACACATTTTTACACATTTGTTTACATTGTTACACTGAATGTTACACATTTTACTATTTATAATGAAGTGCACCTCGAATATTCATCAAGGTTTAATGACCGGGTTTTTACACAATAAGATGCGATCTTTTAAGTTACTTCTAAATAAGCATTTGTTTTTTTACGGATGCAAATGTTTGGCGTGCAAGATATGTGGAACCTGCTTTATGGAAGTAAAGTATCACAGTTGAGTACAGAGGCGAAAGATTTTCGAACTAATTGCGTGAAACAAAAGTTTATGGAGTTGAACGTAAGTAGTCGTAAACCCATGAAATTGGGTTGGCTTTTCAACGACGGTTATAAACTAAAATAAAATAAAAACAAAAGTTTATAAAACTTGTTTACCCAAGGAAAATTTTAAACACAAAAATTATTCTTAGTTAATATTATTTGTTATAAATCTAACAATAATTAAACAAAAATTGAATGGTAAATTTGATTATATATCCTCTAAAATTATGTTAATTTTAAAACCCTAAAATTTGATTGAAAATTGTCGCATGTTCCTAGTAAGAAAAAATTCATAATTTTTTTTTGAAAAAATATCTCACAAAAAAATTTTGATATTTGTTTGATTTATTTATTTTAACAGCACGATGGCTGATGCTATACACCATGTGCAAGAATATGAACCTCATTTCCTGAACACGAGGGGAAACAAATCGTTCACAATTTTCGTTCCCACCAATGATGCTTTTATGCAATTAGGAGAAGACAATTTACATTCACTGATGAAAAATCGGAGAAAATTGAAAAAAGTAAGTTCATTTATATCAAGATAAGTTTTAAAAATAAAATGAATAAAAGCTTTTCTAAAATAGTTTTTTTTTCCATTAAAAGCGAACTTTCACATTTTATAAATAACTACAAAAATAAATAACAGAGTAAAAATAGTTTGTTTTTTTTTCCAATAAAAGCGAACTTTCACATTTTATAAATAACTACAAAAATAAATAACAGAATAAAAATTTAATCGAGATTTAAAACTAAAATACACTAACGCTTAGTGACAATAAAATATTCTCATTTGCTACATTTTATTATAATGCTCCGCGTTGTTGATTCATGTAGGGTAGGTTAATCGTGATTTATAGTTTTTTCAGTTAGCATAACCATCTGTTGATGAGCTTCAACACTAAATTTTTTTTTAATTTTGTGGAAAGACACTTGGTATATAGGCCGAATGCAGTAAATAATGCTAAGCTTTCAGTTTTTCTGTGATTGATTTTTCAAATTGTCATATGTTAGACACCTTATAATATCTAACCATACTGAATTGACCACATAACTATTTTCCTTTCAGATGGTCCAAAACCATGTGGTTGACAATATGTTTTCTGCTGGATCAATTCACCGCAATTTACAATACAATGTTCGAACTGAATATCAAACTGTAAATATACATAAAGAGAAAGATGGACTCATGGTGAATAAAGCCCATGTTATTGAACCAGATGTAGTAACAAAGGAAGGAATAGTGCACTGCATTGATCAAGTATTAATACCAGAAAGGAGGCGAAAGTCATGATTTTAGAGCTTTATCATTTTCATTCATCAGTAAATACTTATTACTTCATGAAAAGAAAAGGTTAAATTTGTATCAGTCAAAACATGATCCATTTTATAAATCATTACATAAGGATGACAAAACTAATGCCCATAACTGTCTGTAGGGATTATAGAACTTAGCAAAACAAATGACTTACATCATACAATTAGAGAGCAAAATAGCGAGTCAAGAGTTGCCAGCTTGGTGAAAATGGAAAATAAAACGTATAGAGTTTTCACAATTGATAACAAATGTTCAAATAAGCAATATATTCTTCACCTAGACATCAATGGTTGATAAATTTTTGGTGATTTACAGCTATGATGCGAGACAATGTCCTCTGGTAGACCTCACGAAAATTACGTTTTTTAAATGCTTTTAGAGGGGGGAGAAAGCTAGACAAAAAGAGACCAGGATATTAAACTGGTCCACTGTGGCCAATCTATCTGTTTGTAAAGGCAGTGTTGAGGTAATTTTGCACTATCCTGGAGAAGCTCATTCTTAGCTCTGACTCTTTAATGTATTGTCAAAGTTGGTTGCTTTAGCAAGTTCTATCTCTCTTTACAGTTACCAGCATTAGTTTTGTTGCACCCTTCATATATTAAAAGGTAAAATAAAGAAAACAAAAAAATATTGCACATTGATATCGAAAAAAAACATAGTATAAGAGTAACATAAGTTTTACCTCTTCCATTGATAAGTATTTTGTCTCATAAATAATGCCTTGTATTGTTAATATTTGTTTTGATCTGAACTAATATATGTGTAGTAATAGTACATTTATTTCATTAAAAATCATAACAAAATGTGTTTTATGTTTTTGTCTAGTCTTGATTGAATGATTTCTTCAAGTTATACTCCTTAAAATATGTAATCAATTGAACAAAAAAAAATAAAAGTTCTTTTACAGTTTACTGAATATTATTTTTTCTTAATTTCTTAACACTAACATCTATTATAACAATTAGTATTTCACAAAAAAATAATAAAAAGTTTAATATTAGAAAATTTTTAGTTCTATAATGCATTTAGTGTTTTATCTATTTATTTTTTGAAAAAACTATTGTGCAATTTAACTTTTTTTTCATACATTAGTTACAATAAATCTTGGTGTTTAAATGTTTTGTTTCAACGAAAGTTTTAATAGAAAGATTCAAAAGTCTCATTTATAATTGACATTAAAACTAACCAAAAGTGATGTTATAGCATTTTAATTTTACATAATAATAAATTTTTACTAACAAAATACTAAACTATATGTTCTAAAAATAGTAAATTTGTGCACCAATAAAATTCAACCAAGTATAAATTAAAGAGAGCATTAAGTAGAAATCAACACTTAATGAATTAATAATAAATTCTTTATACTATCTTTTATTCATAATTAAGTTTTAGGGCAATTCAGACATAGAAAAAAAAATTTTTTTCTTCATTTGTTTTTATATTAAAATATGAAGCAACAACTTCATAACACACCTAAAAGAGAAGACAAAGATAAGACTTATTAACTTATATTAAGTCTGACATGAATTCATAAATTAACTAATGCTTTCAGAGGAAAATTGACTGGCCTTTTTACTTTAGTATAATTTCAAGTATATTGAGCTTTAAAATCACAGTCAAAAATTCATGACAATTTATAACAACTCTTACTGCATCAGTGAAAAATGGTTTTATTTTTACCCTTACATGCTTCTAATTGCAGTTCTCAGTTGCTTTCACACATTTTTAAGTTTGATTAGAAAAAATCTGGTATTGTCAATTTGTTATAAAAACAATTATTAAAAGAATCTATTAAATTATAAAACTAGTATTTAATACCACTTATTATAACATTTCAAAGAAAAAATAAGTTACTTGTATAATCTCACTTTGATAGAATGCTTTAAAAAAAAGAGCAATTATGTAAAAATTTAATACTATTTTCAAACATTGATAATTGGCACATATTTTAGCCAGCTAATGACTTTTATTTTTAAAGTTCCCCCCCCCCCAAGACAAAACCAGCTTTTACTATTACAAATGCTTTAAAGTCTAGAAGAACCTATAATAATAATTCCTTTTAATGCAAAAAATTAATTAATAATTTAGCTTCATGCGCCTTTTGAAAAGTTACAAAACAGCAGTACCAAACAAATGAGTGAGTATTAACGTAAAAATTCTAAAAATCAATCTTAAAAACTTTATATTTCTTAATGAAATAAAATTTTACTAGCCAAACTAACATTTTTTAGAAGAGAAATTATTGCTACCAAATTTTTTTCTTTTATTAATATTGAGACACAGGCGTTGAGATTTAACTGACCTTAGTTTTAAATAAGCATAATCAAACCTATCATCACATTTTGGCACCAAAAAAATAAGCGCACCACGCTGAATAACTTTTGATCTAGTGATCGGATCTACACGTTTTAGGATTCAATCTTAATGATTCAAGAAGGTGACCTAATTAATTAGTGTAGACGATATCTTAAGTTATGAAATCAAATACAAATATGTACTTTCTCTAAATAAATATACCTTTTTTTGATGGATTTGGATTTCTGATCCCCAAATTATAGGGGTATCGTAGCCACAATCTGGGAAATATGGTCCCCATAGTTTGATCAATCTCAAATTGAAATTATTTTTTTAATATTACATCAATATCACCCTAACATAGACAAAACAAATAATGCAAATGAAAACACTTTATTAAATAATTTTGAATAATAGATAAAACAGCATATATTTTTTATAAAAATGCAATATTTACATAGGAAGTAGTGAACAATATTTACAAATTCTGCTTAACAAGTCTGTTAAAAAGTAAAATGACAAGACTGATTAACAAACAGAATAGATATGCTTTGATGATATGTGAGAGATGAGTAAACAAATCCACAATTCTGTTGAACTTTTTAAGGAAGAACAATAAGACAAGAAGTATACGGTTGAAAACGCTTCAATATAAACAAGTTTTCTTCATTATCCGTAAGAATTCTTCTTGGTTGACCTCACCATCATTATCTCGGTCGGCTTCAGCAAGCATTTCCTAATTTTAATTAAAAATAAATCATAGATATACAGGGTTTTCAGTAATTACCACCAATAATATGTGTGTGAAAAATTCCATAAAAAGTTACCTATCACAATATTAAACAGAGAAAAAAGCATCCAAAATTCCATGAATAATTATCTAAGTCAATAACTATCAAGGAAGAATTAAAAACATGAATTAATTTGATTTAAATAATAATAAATATTTTTTTTTCCTAACGGCAGGCACTGAACTTTTAGGTTCTTTGCCTAGAAAGATGACGCAGGTGTTACTCATTTAACGTTACTCAGTGGGCACCTGTGAACCTAAGTGATGGAAGAGAGCAACATTGCCCACACCACACTGCCACAGATACCCGCTTTATAGGGTGGGCCACATTCACACAATAAAGAACAATACACAGAGAGAAACATCCATGCCCAGAGCGGGATTTGAACCCGCAGCCACTAGCTTCGCAGTCAGGTACGATAACCACTCGGCCATCTGGCTGGTAAAATAATAATGAGAGGCATATTAAATTCCAGCTTTTCTAACTGACTGGTATAAACCTAAATATTCCCTTCAAGCATACCATATCAGTGATCAAATAAAACATTTAACAAAAATTAGACATTTAAGCAGTTTTTTGTTATTTCAGATTAAGTATAGATTTTGAAATTCCAGATATCATGTGAATTCAGCTACAGTTATGTAGATGAATGCATAACCATTGGTTTAATGTAAGAAACAATTTTTCAAAAAAAAATTAAATAAGCATTCCCCTAACAGTTAAATATTAAACTAAAAAATTGTACGATTGCTTAAAAAATTAACAATCAGTAAGGATATTAACTGGACATTAAATATATAAAATTATTAAAGTTTAAAAGGAAAAAAAAAATTCCCTCCATTGCATACCTCTTTTGACAGAATTAGAAATTTAATGAAATCAATAATATAATTTTAATAAAATAAAAATATGTAGCTTACTCTTAATTCTTCATCCGAAATATTTTCTCCCAGCTCCATTGCTACTCGTTTCAAATTTTTGAAGGATATTTTTCCAGTATTGTCATCATCAAACAGCTGAAAAGCTTTCATAATTTCTTTATTTGCATCCTTATCACTTATCTTTTCAGCCATCAACCTCATGAAATCATCATAGCAAATTTTACCTACATCAAATACATAGGAAATTTTTAAATTTCACAAAAATGTTCGGCATTATACTTATAATTGTGGTATTGTCAAGTTCCAATTTATTTTGAGAAAAGACGTAGTTCATTAAATTTTTTGTAAAGGAAAATGTTTTGAAAAAACAACAAATTAAGATGAATCAAAAGCCAAACATTTTAAAGTTATGCCAAGTTCTATAAAATTTTGAAAAATAAAAATATATATTTGATTGTACTAGGATTACATGCACTCATATATTGATTTTTGCATTAAGAAATGTGTTTTTTTTTCATGGCAAATTAAAGATATGCATAACCTATAAAAATATTGTGAACAATAGCAGGAATTATTATGAAACGCAGAAAGAAATAATGTGCTGTGCTGCTAAAAAAAATTATGAAAACCAATTAGGATTGATTCTGTTAATAAGGGAGTAGCAATACATAATAATTCCTGAAATAAAACAAAATTGTTGTTTATCACCAAGTTTGGTCAGCAAATTTGCAGTGTAATGTAAAAAATTTAATTAATACCAAGTTTACATTGCATAGGCTCCGATTCATAAAGCAAAAAATTAAACAGAGCACGACTGAAATAGGTTGCATTTTTGTTAAGATAGCAAAACTAGAGGGGGCTATTCAGAGAGAAAATATAATAAGAAAAGATGTAATTGTTAAAAAAAAATAATCATAATAAAACTTGACCACAGAAAAATAAAAAACTTCAATTGCAAGGCTGCCACTCAAATCTGGAGAAAAAAAAATTCCCTGTGTTTTCCCTGTACATATTATACCCTGTACAACAATTACTGTGCTCTTGTGTGAGCTATATTGGGCCAGAGCTCATTCTAGGCAGGGTAAACAGGGCGCAGCACCCTGCTGCCCTTTTAGTCAAAAGAATCCACCCTGTTGCCCCTGAAGTAAATTAGTGCCCTGATGTAATAGTGTCCATACCCGTTCTTTCCTCAACCCTTCTTTATTTTTCCACCAAACTGTACAATGGGTTTCTCAAACTTTTCAATGCTTTTTATTTAGTTTGTTGTTGCTGTCAATACATAGATTTATATGGGAAAGGAAAAATAGCCATCACACCCCCTTATTGCACTTATCTTTGAAAGTTTGCAGTTACTTCCACTGTCATTAAATCATAATTATTAATCATTTTAATTATTAAATCATAACTACAGACACTTAAAAACGTACATTTATTATTTTATTAATATATGCATGCATTTTAAATAAATTACTGAGATAATTAGCTCATTAACTCGATATATATGTTAATTTATTAATAAAAATTAGTAATTAATATGATTGCTTTGCTACTTCTAGTAAAATTAAAAATAAAAAAAATTCTTTTACTAATTGAAAATGTTTTTTAATAGAACGTGTAAGACCCAGAGAAAGAAATTGTTGCCTTTTTAGAATAATAATGTCCCTTTTTTAAACTTTTGCACCCTGCCCTTTTTCTGCCTAGAATGAGCTCTGTATTGGGCTAACTATATTTATTAGTTTTAATTGCTGGAAAAACAACTAAACATACTTAAAGAAATCTATCACAAATGAGATAGTTTTGTATAGCTGAAATATCATGGTTAAATATCCCATAGATTATGCTTTGAGTGGTCACCCTTTTTTAAAAGACAAAAATAAGGAACAAAATTCCCTGTATTCTCCCAGTTTGTAAAGAAAAAATCAAAATTCCCTGTATTTTCCCTGTTAATTTAGGTGATTTTTAAAGTCCCTGTATTTTCCAGGTTTTCCCTATTCTCCCTGTGAAGTGGCAACCCTGAATGGAATTAACACAAAAAAATAAAATATTTAAAATCAATATTACAACCTGAGTTGTCCTTATCTACTTCTAATATCATTTTCTTAATTTCCTCCTTTCTTGGTTCAAATCCCAAGGCTCTCAAAGCTACCTAATATAAAATTGTAACAGAATTTAACATTAGAAAAATTTTATAATTACTACTACACAGTGGCATACACAAGAGAGGGGTTTAGGGGTTTAAACACCCCCCTTGAGCTCAGATAATATGGTAAAAATAAAATTTTTAGTAGAAATTAAGCGTGCTATTATTTTTGAAGACTATATATTTTTATTTGCATTATGCCTACTTTTTTTTTCTCACGGTATTTCTCAGAATACTGAAAAAACATTTACTATAATAGGGTTGTACTTTTGAAACCAAATTCACGTGATACTGTTACGGACTGGTTCCTTTCTGCCCTGCCAGTATAGTTTTCGAGACTAGCTGTCATTCGCGAGGTCTTTACGCGATGATTCTGGAATCCTAGACGTTCTGTCATCTTACAGACAATTTGAAAATTTTGGAGATGCGGCGAAAAATTATATAAAAGGGGGAACGGAGTACCGTGGAGTTAGTTAGTCAGACTAAGAGTTATTTCTGCCGCTTGTCTTTCGGAGCTTGTTGAGTATGTGCCAAATATATGTTTATATATATATATGAATATATTGCTGTTCTTGGATCTTTAGGATGTCAAAACGCAAGAATTTAACAATTTTTAATTATTTTGAGAAAAAATCACGACCTGAAATTAGGGAGTTGACAGCATCTAGTACCAATGTAAGTTTTTCTGTTGTACAGAGATGTGATACTTACGTTGAAGAAAACGTGCCTACCATAACAAAATCTGATGAATGTGAAAGTGGTCCTCAAAGTGTTACTTCCCACCCATATGACATTGGACTTTTTTCAGAAGATATTACATTATGTTCCTAAACTTAAAAAATCAAATCAAAAATTTAACTAAACAATGTTGTCTAAATAAAAAGCCAAAATAGTCTAGATGTCTAAATTAGGGAAATAATNTGTCCTTATCTACTTCTAATATCATTTTCTTAATTTCCTCCTTTCTTGGTTCAAATCCCAAGGCTCTCAAAGCTACCTAATATAAAATTGTAACAGAATTTAACATTGGAAAAATTTTATAATTAGTACTACAGAGATGCCAACTTGCTCCGGACAGCAAATAAATATTTTAAAGTGGTAGTTCATCAATTATGATTCTTGGTTTAATAAATTCCAATTTAGTAGATTTTTATCCACCACTATTTCTAAATAATTCGTAGGCTTATATAATTCACCACTTTTTAGTACTTATGTCAAGCTATACCTGTTAAACAGCAAGCAAAAATAGCCAAATGTTTGCAAAATTTATTTTGTAGTTATTTACCGCTTTTTTAGTAGTTTTGGTGTGTCCGGAGCAGTTGGCATCTCTGCTACTATGTTAATTTTTTGGAAAATAAATTTTCATCTACTACACTGCAGTATTTTCATAAGTTGAAACTGCTTGTATATTTTTAAAAAAAATATAAAGCTTTTATAAAGAATGCAACAAAAGATTTTTGAGATGGGATTGTTAATGAAATAAAGCTTACTTTTCACCTCTTTGAATAACAATGATTTTGACAATATTCAATTTTTTAAAGCTTTAACTTGTGAAATCAAGGTGCACCTTATTGGTATCCTATAAACTTTAACTAGTAATAAAAATGGATCTATCATGAAATGGAAAGTTTTTAAGGAAAACAAATTTTCATTTAACTAAAATAGTTATTGGTCTGGACCTTTGCAAAATATATGAACATATTCCGCATATTAAACTTAATAAAACTGCACAAAAGTTAACTTAGCAGCGACATAAAACTATTTTCAGGGATGAGCTTGGTAAAAAAAGAAGAAAAAAGGCTAAAATAGAAATTTATAAATGTTGTGTGCGAAACACATTTTCAATAATTTTAAAAATAACTGAAATTTGAGCAAGAGTAAAGTGTATGTATGAACCACATATCCATAGAATATTATCAACATTTTAATCAAATAAATGGATGCATGATTTTTATTTAAATTCTGTGCAATCTGTAAAGTGTAGTTTTAAACTATGAAAAATACGAATCGTGATAAGTGATTTTAAAATACGAATTGTGATAAGTGCTTTTCAATTCATGAATATGAATTGCGATATGTAATTTTAAATTACAAGAATATTAATCGAGATCTGTAAACGATTGCCCTTTTTATTGTTACTTGCATGAATACGAATCTCAACGTGTGATTTTTAAATCCTGTAAATAAGAATCTCGATATGGGCCTTAAACCAAGTTAATATATAAATCACTTTGCATAATTTCACATCTTGTGAATGGCTATTATGGTACGTAATTTTAAATCATGTAAATATGAAGCATGATTCATGACTTTAAATTACACTAATATAATAGTAAATTATGTTTATATAAGTAAAAGAAAATTGTAAAAAAGTAAATTTTTTTACACAATTCAAAAAAGAATTTCTTGAAAAGGTGGTATTTTTCTAATTAATAAATTGTAAAAAGGAGATAAAAACTCATCCTAGTACTTTCACATGAATAGAATTTAAATACTTATTATTAGGCCCCAAAAGAAAATATTTTAAATATTTATGCCACAGAGATGCAGAAACTATTTAATAGAAAAATGCAGATAGATTGCAAGATGACCTAGAAAACAAAAACATGAAAAATAACTTAAATTAAAAAACACTTTTCCTTTACTCCCCTATTTTAAATACAATAGAGAGATTTTAACTAGGAAACTTAGGAATAGGATAAATTGAAAAAGCAAGTGAAGTTGCACTAGAAAAAAACAATTTTACCTGATAAATGAAGATAATATGAAGAAAGTAAAAAAATTATATATGATATTAGGTAATTAAGCACAATATATTGGATTTAGGCATACCACTTATTGAAGTTAAAGTCAAAAATACATTTTGGCTTTGAGTAATATAAAAAAACATTATTAATTCTTGCATAGATTTTTATCCAGGTTCGAACTGCCTGCTATTTAGCAAATATACAAATAATACGTTTACAAGTAATACGAATACAAATAATACGTTTGTTTTCATAATTACCTTAAGATCCTTAGTTTCAATATAGCCAGCACCTTTAGTATCAAATAAATTGAAAGCGTCTTCAACATCTTTCTTTTGCTCGGTTGTCAATTCGATTTTTACGTTAGCTTTCTTTTTTGATCCACCAACAGATGATTTTCTGGAAGAGGTCTAAAAAGAATTTGTTTCCAAATCAAACACTAAAATTTAATAATAGTAATGTGGAAAACAAAATTTAAAAATGAAAGTTACAAATGATATTTTATCTTACTAATTTAATAATATATTAATGTATACCATATTGTTTTTGGCCAAGAATCTGTTATCCGTATGGAAAATATTTATTTTTGTTTATAACAAGAGAAGCGCCAAAACTGTTGTGAGTTGAGATAGACTTTCCTGAATCTAATAAATTTATTTCTTAAGAAGTATTTTCTGAAATAGGATTAATTTACTATCAAAGCCATTCATAATAATTAATTTTAAAAGAAGTAATAAAAAGAAAATAGAAACAACTTTGTATCAAAATCAATATAAGCTGTAAGCTTATGCATATTACTCGAATAGCTCTAAATCTGGTACACAGTAAGCTTACTTGAACCACAACAATTAAGATCCTTAAAAAAGATTTCCAATTTTTTTCTTTTATTAAATAAATAATACTAGAATATTATATAATATATAATTATAATTAAATAATTTAGCAAGAAGTATCAAAGTATTTGTAAAAATGGATGTTGGAGAACTATTAAGTTATAAACCAGCTAAAGAGCCCAGAAGGGTAGCTATAGAAGATGATGATGTAGAAGTTAGACCGAGATCTAAGAGACTTGCTAACATTCCTGAAGCCCACCATGATCGCCGACCAACTAAGATGATGAAAACGCAAGATGAAAATAAGGAAAATTTTAAGCAAGATTTGGAGGGTGAGTCTGAGCTTCCTGAGGGAGAAAGTGGAGTACTGGATGACACTACTTTAAAAAAACTGTTGTTGTCTTTTGAAAAGAAAGTTTTAAAAAATCAAGAGCTTCGTATCAAGTTCCCCGACCAACCCGAAAAGTTCATGGATTCCGAAATCGAATTAAATGATATTCTCCTCGAAATGCATGTAATTGCTACACAGCCAGACTTGTACCATATATTAGTTGAACTGAACTCTGTTTCAACCATACTGGGTTTGCTTACTCATGAAAATACGGATATATCAATTGCAGTTGTCGATCTCTTGCAAGAAATGACTGATATTGATACTCTTAATGAAAGTGAAGAAGGTGCTACAACTTTAATTGATGCGATGTTGAATGCACAGGTTATTGCAGTGTTGGTGCAAAATTTGGAGCGACTGGATGAAAAAGTTAAAGAAGAAGCTGAAGGAGTACACAACACTCTTGCTATTATTGAAAATCTGGCAGAATTTAAAACGGATATGTGTGTAGATGCTGTTGAACAAGGTCTGATGCAGTGGATATTGAAAAGAATCAAATCTAAAATGCCATTTGATGCCAATAAACTCTATGCCAGTGAAATTCTGTCAATCTTGCTTCAAAGACATGATGAAAATAGGCAATCTCTTGGAACAATGGAAGGCATTGATGTTTTATTGCAACAATTGGCTTATTTCAAAAGAAATGATCCGTCAAGTGCTGAGGAACATGAAATGATGGAAAACTTGTTTGACTGCATTTGCTCCTCTTTGATGTTTCCTGCAAATCGGGAAAGATTCTTAAAAGGAGAAGGTTTACAACTTATGAATCTAATGTTGAGAGAGAAGAAGATGTCTAGAAATGGTGCTCTAAAAGTTTTAGATCATGCTATGTGTAATGCAGAAGGAGCCGACAATTGTAATAAATTTGTTGATATATTAGGTTTAAGAGCTATATTTCCATTATTTATGAAAACTCCAAAGAAGAACTGGAAAAAAGGGTTGTCTATCGAGCAACACGAAGAACACGTCTGCTCTATAATTGCATCGATGCTGAAGAATTGTAAGGGTCAACAACGTCAACGACTTTTAAACAAATTCACGGAAAATGATCACGAAAAGGTTGATAGATTGATGGAACTGCATTTTAAATACCTTGATAAGGTGCACTATGTTGATGTTCAAATTGAAAAAGAAAAATCTAAACTTAGTGAAAGTGAAATTGATTCTGTCATGGAAGAAGAATTCTATTTACGTCGCCTTGAAGGTGGTCTTTTCACACTTCAACTTATTGACTACATAATGGTTGATATTTGTTGTTCCGGACCCCCTAGTATTAAACAGCGTGTGCTCCAGATTTTAAATTTGAGAGGAGGCTCTATCAAAACAATTCGAAATGTAATGAGAGAATATGCTGGTAATATGGGGGATGCTAATGATGCTGCTATCAGAGAAGCAGAACAACAAAGGCTTTTGCAATTTGTTGATCGTTTTTAAAATCATCTGTTAATGGTCATGATTTATCTTTTACATATTCTCATATCTCCATTCTGAATTTTTACTTTTGAAAGTATGTGCTAATTATTTTATGTTTATGTATGATATTTTGTTACATTAGAAGCATTGTTTAAGGTGCATTTCTCTTATAATAAAAATTGTTCTCTGTTTGTGTAGTAATATTTACACTGCTATAAATTGCCACATTTGATAAATTAAGAAATTAAAATGACTTATCATTTTAAAGAAAAAAAATTGTTTTTTTTTTTACTATGAATGAAAGAAAAAGCATGCTGTATTATTTTTTTATAAACATATATGAAATCTTTATTAATAAACTGTTGCTTAATGCAATGTATTAATAATCCATTTTATTGTCCTAATAAGGGAAAATTGTAATAATTAGTGAGGAACTGAATAGTAGTTTGGACAAACACAGAATATTCGGCCATCAAATATTATTTGGAGATTTTAATTTTGACCAAAATATTATATATTAATACCAATATGAATATTTCATAAAACATCAATAGCATTAAAGATTTAGTACTAGCAAAATTTTAATAAATGACTGATAAAATTATTTTAATAACACCTATAATAAAAGCTCACTATTTTTGAGTTTTATTTGCTTTAGGCATTATTTAGATATTATAATCACAGTAGTAGATTATTAATCAAACAGCTTTATTGTTTTTTTTTATGAACATATATTAAAATAATTTGTTATTCAAGAGTTTTATTAAATGATATAATTGCCATTTTTTTAATTAAACCAAAATAAAATGAAAATATTATTTATAACAATGTCTTTGGCCAATAAGGTAATGTTTTAATTTAGCTCTTTTGAGATGGTGTTTTATAATTTTCGTACCTTTTAAATTTTTTATGTTTTTAATATTTTCCCTAAAAACTATCCTTATCTCTTCTAGTTTCCAAAAATTTTCTTTATCTAATTAAACCTGAACAATTGCAACAATAACTGTAAACTTAAATTTCATTAACATGTAAGACCACAACAATGATTACCAGATAATTTCTCTTGGGCTGAAATTAATTCGGTATTTATGATGAAGGAAAATTTTAAATGAAATTTATTACATAAAGAAGAGAAAGCAAGATTGTGTTTTTATGATTCGGTTAAATTAGGAATTTTATTCTTCGAAATCGGAATTTTTCCCCTTCCCAAAAATTTTAATTTGCTATGCCCTTGGCAGGTCGTCCGGCTACCAAAGTGGGAAAACCATTCCCTTTGCACAGGCTCAAAATTGTGACGGCATGTCTTTGAACCATCTTCAGGGATGTTTCCCAGATCGTCGGCAATAGCCCATTTTGCATTTCTATAGTGACATGCTGCTCAACCTTAATTCTTTAAAGAGTTCTCTTGTGTTTTGAGTTCATTAGTGAAATAAATTAAAGATGTAAAGATAAAAATGAGCTAAATTTGTGAATGCGAGTAAAAAACTGTACTCATTGAATGCAGTTTTCGGACTTCCGTTCATTGCAGAGGAAAATTGAGAACCCTATTGGTTAATTTTTCATAAGAAATATTTGTCACCAATAGGTTCTCATTGTCTCTCAACAGTGATCGGAAGTGTGTGAACCACATTCAATGAGATTGGCCCTGAAGAGCCTATCTCACTTCTCGTGGGGAAAAACTTGACATACGAGCTTGAACCTGGTTGGAGAATTTTTTGCTTGTATATATATTTCACCAATCACGTTCTTGTTAACGTCTCCGAATTCACATACGCGAATTTTTAGCGTACTTTGTGAGTGGCGCTTGGCTCTAGTTTGCACTTCCGAATAGAAATGTTCAAGTAAGGCTGGCATAACCTGACTGATAGGGGGTTAGACTAATCATGGAGAAGTCATGAATTTGATCTTTACCAGCCAGAGACTCCCCATGTACAAAATTATGACTAGTGTACGTTAAATCTGATGTAGTCACAAAGTCCAAGTTCCCGTAACAAATCTGTACCGAATCGAAGATTGATCGTGCTCTTGTTCAGGTCAAAATTACGATAGATGGATATTAAGTAAATGTGTTCTCTCTGTAAAACGGGATGCGACGTATGTATGTAGTCTCCAGAGGTCGAAATGGGCTACTGGTGGCGTAGAGCAGAACTCTCTACCTATGGCAACACCTCGCAATGCTTCATCATTAGCATATGGAGAGTCATTGGCGATCGAAATGGGCTGCAGGTGGCGTAGAGCAGAACTCTTTTCCTATGGCAACACTTCACATGCTTTCCCCATTAGTGTGTGGAAAGTCATAGAGGAAGGAAGTATGTTAATTTCTCTCTTGATTTCCATATAGATTGAAATCTTTTAACTTGAAAAACTATATGGAACTGAAAACTACATTAAACATAGTTCTAAAGAAAAGTATTATGGAAATTTTAAAAAATATTCTTATTAAATAAAAAGGAAAAATATTAAGAAAAGGGAAAATATCGTAGTACATTCCTATACAACTGAAAAGAGGAGGAGAGGGAAGGGAGAAGGGCTAAAGGCATGAAACCGGTCTCTCCCCTGATGGCGTATTCGAGTGTTGCGATCGCGAATAGAAGAAGGAAGTACGTTAGTTCATGTCTTGATTTTTAAACAGATTAAAATCTTTTAAGTTAGGAAACTGTATGGAACTGAAAACTACATTAAACATAGTACTAAAAATAAACGTCTACTTTATTTACGTAGCTTTAGAACAGCACAAAGGGCTGCTATTGATGACTGTCTGGGAAACATCCCTGAGGATGATCCAAACACATGCCATCACAATTTCGATCCTCTACAGAGGGGATGGTTCTCCTGCTATAGTAGCCCGAAGACCTGCAAGTGAAGTCGAGCACTTTATGGCTTAACAGTTTAATGAGAACCGATACCGCGCTATCTCGATCCCTACGCAGGCTGATCAAAGTGATCATCCACCCACTTACAGACCGCAAAAAGCAATGTTTGACTTCGGTGTTATACTAGAATTGCGTCTTTACGATCAGTCCACTGCAGGATGAGTGATGGATTTATTTTCAACATTAATTTTAAAAGTGATGTCACCTTAAATATCTCTGACGATATTTTTTTTTTCATACGCTTGGCCACCTTGTCATTTTAATTTTTCCGTGTTTATTATTTCTCGCTGGCTGTACTCAACTCAACTCAGCTTTACTTTTAATGTTGTTTTGGGTTTATTAGAGGCTGTCTGGTAGTTGCACTGACAGCTGGGTAAAAGAAATATAGAACAAATCAGGATTATTTGTTTATAAAGATTTCGGACTTTTTGTTTTTATTAGCAATGTATTTGTTACCTTTTATTCATTTTATTAAAAATTAAATCCGGTTCTTATATGCCTGAGAATGGCTGGAGCTAAATCAGGCGTTCATGTTGTTCAATTAAAACCCATATCTGTACCAAAGAGTTTAGTTGACGGAAATAAGTTCGTTAAGTGGGATGATGTGAGTTTGCTTTTCTAATGTAACTTTAATTATAACATATGCGATCACTAAAACTGTACCTTATCTTACGCTTCTAATGTCTTATCAGCATATTATCAATGATCCTTAATAGAGTGATCTGATTGAACAATTAGATTCTGTTATCTTATGGTCTCTAACATATTTTCATTAAACTACGTCCTAAAAAATATTTCTTTTCCCAGAAAGCAAGAACAAATCATTAATATAATTAAAGTTATAAAGGTAGCTGCCAACTATATCCATGTTTGTTTATTCTTTTGATCTTCAAATGATTTCAAAAGAATAAAAATATAGTTATCAAGAAATAACAAGCTCAACTAAATAAACTTACTCTTTTTTGTATAGATTTTTAGATCTACACATTATTAACCAAATAAGATGTTTTTAAACAATTTAAAATCTACTTGTTATAAAAGTTAATGTTAAGATTTACATTGATTGCTTACTGTTTATCAATACAAATATCACAGCTTTTGAGTTTTCTATTAAGATAATAGAATATAAAAAAGCATATTTAATATCACTTAAATGAAAATTTTAACTAATTAATAATTTACAATGCTTATTGGAACTGTTTAGTTACTATTCTTTTGATTTATATGAAAAATACTGGTTTTCTGCATAGTATGACTAAACAACTGTTGTTTTCTGAACTGAGTTTGGGGCCAACTTATATAGGGAATAATATTTTGCAAACTAACATATGTGGCCCTAAAATGCAAATAGTTTCTTTTATGTTATCTGAAATGTTTCTAAAGAATTTAATTTTTAGGTAGTTGAGGAAATTCTTAAGTAAATTTACCATAGGGGGGCACAATCAGGAACCTAGGGTTCAAATATGTTCTCTTCCCACTTAGTAATATGAAATTAATTGAATAAACTTACATAACTAGCACAAACATTTTATGACTAGTGACTGGTTTGCAGAATTTCAATAAAATTTATAAGAACACTGAAATTAAAATCCAAAAATGTTTCAAAATCTAAAAGTAGTAATTCAAAGTGTCAAAATATTTGATTTTTTTAACATTTTCATTTTTTTAAAATTCTTTCTAACAAGTACATGATTTTAACAAAAATTTAAAGGTTTATTCAGAGATCACTCTAGGAATTAAAAAGGGCAGGGTGCTTCCTCACAAAAAAAGGTACTTTAAATTTTGAAAGTGCACTCACTTAACACTGTAAAAATGTATCAAAATGTGTAATATATAATTACTTAATTTGATCCTCAACAATTTTAAGTTACTGTCTTATACTGTTTTATTTGTATATTTCAAAAAGCAATTTTCACTCATTATCTAAATAAGAAGAAAAGTTGTAGTTTATAAATAATATTTAAAAGCATGCTGGGAGACAATCTGTGTATACATTTTCAGAGAAAAAAAAAGTAAACTAAAAAAAAATATTTTTTGATTAACAGTTTAAAAGATTTTTTCTGTAATTTATATTGAAAATTATTAGAATATGCACAGATAAAGGTGCATTTTTTTTTCTTCGAAAAATGTATTTATTTAAAAAATAGTTTTAAAATTAAATTTAATATACCACTTAAATAATTTATATACTCCTTTCAAAAAAAGACTAACAAAGTAAATATTTGTTATAGCAATCAGAATTAAACCTATAAACACACATAATTTTTGTGTGCAAATATTATTTTAACCGTTAATTAATTTTTCTTAAAAATGGATTATAAATTAAAAGGCAGTGATTTTAAGGGATGGCAGCTTATACATTTACAAAAAGGGCAAAGATTTAAAGACATGTATAACAATCAAAGGGTAGGTAAGGCGGGTTGCCAATCTAAAAATGCTTAAGAACACTTGTTCATTTTTAAAAATAAAGAAGTTAGAGGTGTACAACCTTTTTTTAAAGAGTGCTGATAGAAAAAAAATATTTTTCAGGGACCACAATTAAATTCATTTGTCATATCTATTGATATTAACTTGTCTCTAAAATTACATGATAAAATATGTGTATAATGTTTTTGATTTAAAAAAAAATATTAGCAGTTTTGCACAATTAGTTTTCGTTATTAAAATTATATCACCACGAGTTCACTTTCTTAGTAAAAAAAAAATCACTTTTATTAATTTTTTTACTGTCTATAAATTTAATTTTTAAATAAATCTTTAAATTACATTTGTTCTGAACATAGAATTGGCAAGTTTATTCCTCATATGAACATAGAATTGGCAAGTTAGTAAAAAAGAAAAAAAAATACCCCTTAAGAAAAAAATTTCTTGAAAACCAAATGGAAAAAAGGGTAGAATTTTTAAAAAAGAAATATCAAATATTAAAACAGTTTAAATGCAATATATTTGAAATAATAGTTTTTAGAGTTGTTTAATATCTTTTTGAAATATGTGAAAATTTATAACAACAATTAGAAAAAATAAATGTAATCAATTCCTTAAGAAACTAAAATAACTGAAGTCCTTGAAAATATTTTACATGAATGCATATTATAAAATCTTTTTAACAATACAAAAAGAAATTTTAAAATATCATTGTCAAGTTGCTACTAAATTAATGAATTGCTTTCTACACAAAAACAATACTTCAAGTCACTTATATTAATTTTCATAATCATACATTAAATATAAATAGTCAAGCTTACTCTTTAATACTTTGTTTAATAATTAGTCTGTATAAATCTAAAATAAATAGTATCAAATATTTTTTTAGTAGAGTTGATTTAAAAAACAATATGAAATTTAATTTATTTTAAGTTATTTTTATAATACTTATTGATAAACTTATTGATATTGGTTATTTTTAGTTTATTCCATATCATCCAATTTCTCCCATTCTGTAAGAAATAAGTTTCTACATCAGTTATAAGTTTGTTGCAGACAAAATTTCAATTTTGGTTTTGAATAGGTTCCTGTTAAGAAAAATTTCTTTAGAAAATTCGAAAGACAAATCTTTTGTCACAACAAATGAGTGCTTTTGCATTTTCAAATATGTTTAATTTTGACATTTGCTTCGAGTAAATTGAAATTGGTTTTAAAATAGTCATAAGATGTAACACTTGTTTTATAGTTTTTAATGGTTAATTTTTGGATAAAAGGCACAGTAAAATAATGCTAATTTTTCAAGTTGAATTTAATATTGAGTTTTATTTCTAGAATTTACTTATTTATCACATTCTCAATATCATTTTTTTTTCTTCATCTAGGATGCTGCAGTTGGAACACCTGTTACTCTTAAAGTAGATAATAAAGGGTTTTTTCTCCACTGGACTGATCAAAACAAGGTTCTTATACACTTAAATTTTCTTCAAAGTAATTTTATAATGAAATTCAAAGGAATTATTTTAAGAATTTTGATCTGCGTTTCTAAATATAAAAGAAAATTGAATTGAGATAGATGGAAAACTCGCGAAATTTTTTATAAGTTTCTATATTCTAAGTTTTTACTAAACATATTATTCACATAGTGTTTTTTTTTTCTTTCCTTATATAAGGATACTTTTTAATACCCAGATTTAATTTTGATTAATTTCTTTACTTCTATAGATAGAAGTTAGCATGGAACTTCTAAAATTTATCACAACTTTATTAAATGTGTGAAATGTATTTTTTTAGGAAACTGAATTTGTGGAAATATCGTGTATCCGAGATGTTAGAACTGGCCGATATGCAAGAGTTCCTAAAGTAAGATATGGGCAAATTTTTTACCTACATTTTAATTTTGTATTTCGTTATTTAATTTATTAAAATTTTCACAGGAAGGGAAATTGCGAGACTCTGTTACAATGGGTCCTCAAGATATCCCACTTGAAGATAAAACTATTACTGTTGTTCATGGATTTGACCTAGTCAATGTTAATTTTATTAACTTTTGCTGTATTGGAAGAGATATTGCTCAAGTAAGTTGCATTTTAGTTTATGAAATATCATTTTAAAACATGAAACATTTAGCTTCATTGCCAAACGCAAAAAATTTAGAATTGAGTTATCATTTCATTTTTTAAAAGTTTCATTTTATGTTTATTTTCTAAGTGTAAGTATGTTGCCATTGTTTTTAGATGAAGTGTACTTTAAAAATGGACTTATTGTTTAAAAATTAAAATTTCATAATTTTATTTGCATATCTTAATTTAAAAGTGTTATGTTCATTAAAGGAATTTCCTAACATTACATAATATAATTAATTTTATGAGCTTTTGTTTCTAAGTACTTTTTAAAAAGGCCATCTATTTCCTGAACCTAACAAGTAACTTTTGTTTTATACTATCATATTGTATAACCACTAGCATCAAAATGTTTATTTAGCTAAATTTATTATTTTTTCCAGGAATGGACAGACACGTTAATGGAAATGGCATATAATTTACTTGCGTTAAATGCTCCTGCTACTACATTTTTAGAGAAGTTATATACAAAAATTCAATTTATGACCGATAAGGAAGGAAAAGTTCCTGTTAAAAAGTTAGTGTTTTTTTAATTTTTTATTTACCAATTACATGCCTTAAAAAATAATTTCATTTAATATTTTATAATTGTTACTTTTTAGTTTTAACTTGTTTAAAAATGACATATTAAACAGCTTGTAAATGAATACTATTATTTAAACTGGTTTGCTATGGTAAATAATTATTTAAATAATTGTCTTAATATTTGATCTTTCTTTTGAAAAAAATAGTTTTTTTTTTCCTATTTATCACTCTTGGGTGGGAAAAAATCTATTTTTTCCCATGCTGTTTTTTTTCATGATTTTTTTCTGCATTTTTTTCAATGTAAAAGAAACTTGCTGTCCTTGTTACAAATTAAATTTTAACTTAAGTTCATACGCTATGGAAAATTCTTCATTATATAAAGTTAATAAAGGCTCTTAGGACTGATCTGAAAAACTCTGGGTCAATTTAATTTGCATGTTATATATCATTAGTGTAAACTCATCAAAAGTAACAAGTTAAGTTTAGAGAAAAACAGGCTTATAGCTTCATATATATAAATAATAATTTTATGTAAATATGTTAATATTTTAGATATAGATATTATAAAATCTAAATTTCTAATTGAAAATTACATTGATTTCAACTTTTTAGTAATATAGGATGATCATTTTATATATATATATTTTTTTATTTTTCATAGTTTTTTTGTTGTTTTTCTAAGTACACTCCTGATTAATACTTCTGGAAAATGTAAGCAAATTCATGCTCTATATATTCCCTTAGTTACAGAACACTCTTTCCTACCAAACATAGAATTTAAAATAGTTTGTTTTTCTCTGAATTTAAAATAGTTTGTTTTTCTGTGAATTTAAAATAGTTTGTTTTTCTCTGCATTTGGTGTACAAACATGTACTATAGTGTTTTACAGTTTATCCTCAGTATCACAAACTTGAATACCCCAAAATATTCAAAATCTGTATTCTTTAAATATCTGTTGCATTGATAGTAATTACAAAACCTCTTTTAATCAGAGTTATTTCTTAGTTNTACTTCATCGTTTTTTCTTCTTTTTAAGATTATTTCCAAATTATTATTTTTTTTAGTTGGGTTTAACAATAAAAAAAACGGCTTTTTGTAGAGATTCAGAAAACCGGAAAAATCAGTTAATCCGGAATAGCAATGGTCCCGATCGTTCTGGATAATCGGTTTCCTACTGTAGTTTGTTTTTCTCTGCGTTTGGACTTGCTTTAAACATGTACTATAGTGTTTTACAGTTTATCAGTATCACAAACTTGAATACCCCAAAATATTCAATATCATTTCAAAATCGGTATTCTTTAAATATCTATTGCATTGATATTAATTACAAAACCTCTTTTAATCCAAGTCATTTCTTAGTTGATTTTTCAAAATATTTGAACCCTCCCCTCCCAATTTTTTTTTTAAAAATGTTTTCTTTAACTTAAATTTTTAGTCTTTTCTTGAATAATTTAATGAACCAGCCCTAATAAAAATGAGATTGCCTTGTTTGAAAAGAGGTTGCACGAATCATCCAGTAGAATTGTAAGATATGCCTGCTAAAATAAGAATATCCACCCATAAGTTAGGATGGAACTTTTCTAATTTAATGATTCCAAAACAACATAAAAACTGATACTTATGAGGAATTTGTTACTGTAGCAATAATTTTGCAGTATATGAATCAGGAATATATAAAAATAAAACAAAGTAGAAGAATTTCATCAAAGCTTATAAAATCTGCGAAGAACCAAAAGTCATTGACATTGTTTGAAATTATTGTGTTCCTAACTAAATAAACGTTATAGTGCTTTTATATTGTCAAAACTTTAAAAGCACTATAACATTTATTTAGTGTGAACTATAACATTGGCAGTACCATAAAATTTATTAAGTATAAAGTGTTATTATTTTGTCAAATTTAAAAATACTTGTTTTTGCTAATGTAAATGGTTAATATCTCAAAATATTTAGTGTTTCCTTTTGAATTAGTGATATCATGGTTGACTGTGTATATATAGTAGAAGGTCTTTAGAATGCAAACCTTGAAATGTGTGGCTCTGTGTTATATCGAATTTTGTGTAATTTAATCCAGTTTACTAATAATTAAATTTACCTACAAAACATGATAATATATATCTGATATGGATCAATATTAATGATTTGAATTAATATTTAAATGAAAATGCTTAAAAACACTAAAATAAGCACTTAAGTATTCATAATTGTTTTGAAAAAAATTTATTAAGTGTAGTAGAAATAATATCCAACAGATTTATTAACTGTCTCTAAAACAAACCAAAATCGTCTTTCTTTAAAGATTGTAAAGTTATTGTGGTTTATAAAATTGTGTTAGGTCGATCATCTACTGCACATACATGTATGCTTATGATCTACGTAAGTAACTTTCAATGTTTACAATAAGATTTTTCTTTTTACAGTGTTGTAAAACTGTTTGCTCAAAATAAAGATGATAAAAAGAGAGTAGAAAAGGCATTAGAGCTTTGCGGCATCTCTACTGGAAAAGTATTAGTTTTAAATTTTGAAATTAAATCTGTGTTGCTGTTCTTTTATTAGCTTGTACCCTTATTTTTAATGTTTTGTTCATATACTTACAGAATGATACTATTTGTCCTGAAAAATTCACCCTTGAAAACTTCCTAAGCTTTTATCGATATTTAACAGGCAGGGAAGAAGTAGATGCTATATTTGAATCTTTGTAAGTTTATTATAATGTACTTTACTTTAACATATCTTGCTGATTGTGATATCCATGGAATGGAACTTAATTATTTTTTAATCATTTTAGATAGATAGTTATGATAGATAGTATATGATAGATAGATAGTTTAAAGTATATCTAAAGAAATCAGACATGCTAAAATGGCTTTATTTTCATGACAAAAATCTTTTTGTCAAGGATCAGCCTAGAAACAATAATATAATCTTTAGCTGTAATCTGTAATCAATAATAATTTAAAATTAGTATTTATAAGTATATTAAATACAAAATCTGTAATTGGACATATTGTTAATATGTTTTAACGAAATATGTGGAGAACTTTTGCAAATATATTGCCAAAACACTGAAATATTTATCTTTCTATAAGTTTTATCTATAAGTTTTCTAATATATAAAATTTTTTTAATCAAAATCAATCTTAAATCCATGATTATAAAAGCTAGAATTCAGATGCTGCCAATTTAGATTTTCAATATTGCTTATTAATGGTCATACGCTTATCAAATTTTGAAAAGTTACATTTTTTGTTAATTTAAGGTTTTTATTGTCAATTTCATTAAATCTTTCTTATATTGAATAATGATTTCATTTTTATACAATAATTTAATATTATTCATTTCAGAATAATTTATTTTTCAAATGCTACATTTTATAATTTATTGATATATTAATCAATCATTATAAAAAAATCGATTGATGCATTGTTATTATTATGTATCAAATGTGGTAGATTTCTTCCCATAAAACAGCATTTATTCAAGAATCTGAGCATTAAAAAATTTAATTTACTACTCACTAAATGATGTTCGTATTTTTTTTAAAAATTAATTTTATTATTTATTTTTTATTTTACTTTTGTCTCACATACTTCTCCGTTTTTTATTTTTTGCAATTTCATGCTTGACTTCCATTATAAATTTCACATGTAGTTTTGAATGATATGGTATATACAAGATATCTTAAATTAGACTGTCAAACTGGAAAATGGTTAAGGTTAAAAAATGTAATAATTTTTGCAACAAATATGCATGACAGAGTATAAATTTTTCTTCATGGATTTTTTTAGTTCAAATGTTCTGAAACAAATGGAGCTACTAGTAGTCAACTTGTAAATAAAAATAAAATGAAAGCGAGGTAATAATTTTATCAAAATACTCTAATTCTTTCAATGAATGAAAATCACATTTACGATATTTTTGAAATGTCCGCTATCAGCCACAATAGCATATCGTAACAGGAGAACTGAACAAAATTTTTATTTATCAAAATGCAATGGGGGAGAAATTGCAGAAACAACATCTGTTAGAAAAGTTTTGAACTGAAACCAATAACTCTGGGAGAGAAATTTATGCCTTATCAAGTGAATTTGCTGCAAGAACTGTTTATTTATTTGTTTTATAGTAGTACATTCTTTTAAGCTGAATTCTTTTTTTTTATATGGATTTTAACTTATTCAACTATGCATTTAATTTATAGGACTGGTAGTAAGAAAAAAGGAATGACTGTGGATCAGTTAGTTGAGTTTTTAAATAAAGAACAAAGAGATCCACGTTTAAATGAAATACTCTATCCTTATGCTGATCCTGCAAGAGTGCGTGAAATCATAAAACAATATGAACCTCACAAGAGTTATGCTCAAAAAGGTAATTTTTCTTGAATATGCATATTAGATATATATTTAGTCTGTTTTAGAATATCTATTAGATATATATTTAGTTAAGGAACATTTTGAGAATTATTCTTTCTAAATAGTATGTTTGTGGGAAATATAAGCTTTAATTTACATATTTACAATCAATTAATGAAATTTTATACAAAAGTAATTATCATGATTTTTCTTTTTGCTTAAAACATTAAACATTGTTATTATTTAAAGACTTTTGTAGTTTGTTTTGCTGTTTTGACCAAATTTTTTTTAACTTAATATTTATGAAGTTACATATTAAAATACCATCACTTAATGAAATTTTATAAAGATCATGTCTAATTCTTTCATTTGCCATTTTGGAAAACTATTTATTAATCAAAAAGAGAAAAGACAATAAACTTAAATTTTTTTTTTTAAAGCATTAAACATTATTATTCTTTAAAAACTTTTGTAGTTTGTTTTGCTGATTTGACCAAATTTTTTTACTTAAAAAGTTACACATTAAAATGTTACACATTAAAAGTTACACATTAATAAAAGTTAAGTAAAAAAATGAAATTTTCTTGTTGGTAATATTTTTTACTTAAAACATAAATTTTTTGTTTGTTTAATTTTATATGATAAAATATTTATGTCTCAATTCATCCCAATTATGTAATTCAAATTCTTTTATCTATATTAATTTTGAAGATCATGCCCATTTCTTTCATTTGCCATTTTGGAAAACTATTTATTAATCAAAAACAGAAACGACAGCAAACTTATTTTTGCTAATCGTTATCTTTTTTGAAGATTTATAAAAATTCTGTGTTGGTTCAAAGTTATTATTTTTGAAATCACCCTATCTATCTATATATAGTAAAGCAGTATACAATAACCCATTGTGAGATGGGATGTCATGGAAGTTAAAGTTCTATAATTTTGTGACCAACAGCATGATAGTGGCTATGTGATCAGCACTGTGTGCAGGTCACATTCACTTCCCAGGGAAACTGGTACCCATCGATCTAAATCTGGGTGGACTTTAAACCGTCCTTGGAGATGGAACTCCAGTTCTTTACAATGACAGTTCAGTGCCTTAGCCACTGAGCCATCAGGGCTCATCTATATGTAGTACCTGATGTATTTATATGTATATTAAGTTTATGTATTAATTTTTAAAATGTATTGATTTCTAAAGACAAATCAATCTACACGTTTTTTTTTTAGAAATTCTTACTTAAAGTAATTTTATTAATATTTATCAATAAACTCTTTTTTAAGGATTGTTATCTGTGGACGGCTTTTTACGATACCTTCTGAGTGCAGACAATGTTATAGTTGCTCCTGAAAAGTTTGACTTGAATAATGATATGGACCAACCTTTAAGTCATTATTTCATCAATTCATCCCACAACACTTATCTTACAGGTTAGTGTGCTTGTAAAAATTTGATATTCTTCACATAGCGTCTTAACTCGTATCCCTCCACATGACGAAAATTCGTCACCTAGAGGAATTTGTATATTGCAGTAAATAAATTATTATCTAAAAATGTCGACATTTGGGCCATATTGTTACAAATGTGTACCAAACATATATGTGTTAAGTGTAGGATTTCTGTCTATTGAACTAAATTTGTCAATTTTTTAAAATTTAATTTTAACAAATGAATCTTTAACTCGTGTGTTTTAAAAGCTTAAGTATTTTATGTTCAACGAACATAACTTAACTATGGCATTTTTTTATATTTAAATATAGAAATGTATTCTGAATTTGTTGTATCACAATTATGATACTAAAAAAAAAAAATTTTTTTTGCTTTTTTTTATTTTTTTTAAATTGTTGTTAGTACAAAAAAGTTTTTTTTATACCCTTTTTTAGGTGATTTTTCATGGAATACCAGCAAATATATGTATCTTTATTACATTGACTTGAGGAACTATGACTTTTAAAACTCGAGCATTTTAAATCTCATTAAGTTGCTCTCATTAAAAGCTCTTAAGCCATATAATTTTAGTTTTAAATTTTTAGGCCATCAACTCACTGGTAAGTCTTCCGTTGAAATTTATCGCCAGTGCTTGCTTACTGGATGTCGGTGTGTGGAGTTGGATTGCTGGAATGGGAAAAATTCTGATGAGGAACCAATTATCACCCATGGCTACACAGTTGTTACAGAAGTTTTATTAAAAGTATTGTGACAGTTATTTTCATTATTGAGCAAAAGTAGATTAAGCTAGTACTAGAGGAAAAAAGCAATACACACTAAATAATACAATTCCAAATTTAATTTGTGAACTATTTCATTTTGTATTAAAATTATTTTCAGTGTAACAAAAAATGCAACAAATGATACCTGTATTTGTTAATTTTCATTATGGCATTATAGCCATGTTAATTATTTAAATCTAAAAATTAGTTTTCATGAGAAATGAATCTTTTTTGTTGATGTGTTGAACAATATATAAAACACAATTCTTAATAATTTAAAAATGTAAATGATTGCATTAGTCAAGAACAGTGAGATAATTTAATTTAAAAAAGCATATTTATTCTCTAATTTTCCCACCAATTTTTTTATGTGTGTTTAATTTAATGCATATACATAAGAAGATTTTCTAAAAACAATTTTGAGAGAAAAATATATTTAGAATCTTCTATTGAAAATATTTTTGTAAGGTAGTCAGAATTCATATTTAAAATTTTTATATAAAAACTGAATAAAAAAAAGATAATTTCAATTTTTAAGAAATATTAATTTTTATTAACTGAGTGTTAATTTAACTTCTAAAACTTCGTTATTTTTATTAAAAAAAAATTAAAATTTTTTTTTAATGAAATGTTTATTTTTATAAAGCATAAAATTTTTATTTTTATTAAAAAAAAAAAATTCTTTTTTTTTTTCAGGAAGTTCTTGAGGCTATTGCTGAAAGTGCTTTTAAAACTTCTGATTATCCAGTATTGCTTTCATTCGAAAATCATTGCTCGTAAGTTTATTTTATCTGTTTAGATAGTAATAATGAATTTCTTTATTTGGCTTTTATTTATTATTTAAATGTATCTATGTGCAAGTTGTTTTTGACAGCAAGTAGGATCTAAATGGCAAATCTGAAGGATAAAATATGTTATCGAATCCAAGAAAATGTCAGCAATAAATTACATTATAAAATATTTCCTTATCTAATTGAATGTTATGAAATCAAAATTAAAAGATATTTATTAATAAAGAAAAATTAAACAAAAAGGAAGATAACATAAGAAGAAAAGCTATAACTCTATTTCAACTGACCAATACCACTGTTAAAAAAAACTCCTCTGGTTTCATCTATTTCATTCTTCCGCTTGTCAAAATTGAGTCGCCACACATTTTTTTCCTCCATTCGTTCCTTCATTTAGTTTTCAGTACCAAAGCTTATGAAAGAGGAGACAATAGCAAATTTGTTCATAATTTTAAAAAGTTGTTAAAAATACTAACCAAAAATTTAAATATCATACTCTAAGTATATTCAACAGAATCAATATCTACCTTCACATTAAATAACATGTTTTGCTCAAGCAAATTAACAGTGTCCCTTATTTTTTTTTATCAGTTTATATGCCTAATTTAAGGCGATGTTGTTTATCTGTAATTCCATGTGTACTGTATTTAATGTACTTTACTGTTTATTGTACTGATTTCATCAACTTTATATTTTTCTTGAAGTATTTTATTAACATCAGTATTTATCCTTTTTTTTTAAAATTATTAATAAACTATGGTTTTAAAAGTTATTTTGAAAAATAATAATTTAAGCCTTATCATTTTATCTTTCTCAAAAATTTGTAATTACGTCTTTGTTTTCTTGTCAGGCCAAAGCAGCAAGCTAAAATGGCTATGTATTGTACAAAAATTCTGGGGGATCTTCTTTTATCTGAACCATTGCCAAATTTTGAGGTAATTGCTTCTCTTCTATTGTTGTTAATCAAAAGTGTTTGTATTTAAGTAAATATCATCTCTTTTTAATTTTGTACCTCTTTAAGCTGCATATTTTTTTTTTACAATTCTACCATGGTTTTTTTAAAATTATAACATGCCAATTTTACAAACATAGATCGTTAATATACGTACAATTGAAATTCTTAGGATTGTATGAAATTACATTTTAAAATTTTGTTTGAATTTTAGTTCTATTTCATGGTATAATGTTCTTAAAGATATTTAAAAGAGGAAGATTAATCTAATTATTTTAAATTTGCCGAAGTTTTTTTATTTTTTATTTTTAAATTCTAATGGACAAAATTATTAAAATAACTGGAGCTGTAAAATAATACAAAAACAAAAAGGAACAATGAAAGCAGTTAGAACATGGAAAACAAAAGAGTTAATTAGTTGTACAAATAGTGGATGAATCTAAAAGTCTCCTGGCCTCTCAATGACGATTCACAAATGAAGGCTTAGTCAGATCGTGGTAAGGCAACAGATGATCCCCATCCGTAATCTATGCCAGATTACCAAGTTTTTTGATACATTGGAAACTATGCTAAGGCAGCTTAACTGCTTCTTTGGACTATCATGGTGAAACTAAACCAGGCCACCATCTTATGTCATAGCCATTTTGTGACAACAGATAATTTGTTTATTCAAAGCTTTTGAAATGTTCTAACAGCAAGATTCTTTCTAAATTCTTCTGACACAGTGTTTTTTTTATTATTACAAAAGAGACTTTGGAAGGAGATGTTTGCAGAATCAAGAGACTTTTTCAGTAAATAATCAAAATTAAGCTACATATTTACTTTACCTAATTAAATTGTATATTTCATCTGTTTAATTTTAGAATTAAAGTCTTTTTACTATTTGATCTTTAAAAATAGTTGTTGCAAATTAAAAATTGTTTCTTTAATTAACTTTAAATTCTAGTTGAAGCCAGAGGAACCTTTGCCATCACCTAACCATTTACGTCGAAAAATTTTAATAAAGAATAAGAAGAAGCACTACCCTAAAAGTAAGATTTTTTTCTACCAAAGATATTTTATTTTGGAATAAAAAAATGTGATGCATTTTTATGTTTGGAGGAAAAATTGTGTGAGAATTTCTGCTGCTGAAAATAATAAGAAGGTGATCACTAGAGATAGAAATCGGGTTTAGTAAACTACTATGGGAGGAATAGAAATATGATTAGAATTGAAGTTTAATTAACATATTGCTTATTTCCAGAACAATATATTTTGCAAAAATGTGAAAAAGTATTATATTTCAGTTTAATTTTCTTCGGGTGTCATCATGGTTGTTTTGCAAGCTAGGAGAGGCACATAAACCATAGTTGAGCCATTTTGGGTAGGAAATAGTGCTAACATTTTGCCAGTGATTTTATTTTATTACAATTTTATTTTGTTTCAAAATTTAGGTTAAAATGACTTTAATGGTAATTTGAATATAAGCTAGACACTAAGTGTTATCCTTTTAACCGTTGTTAGTTTTTGTAATTTAGGTTTTGTCCCTTTTATGCATAAAAGAATGAATGTTATGATAGTTTGCTAATTTTTTCTTTGTCTTCCGAGACAGTTATAAAATTATAAATTTAAAGAAATTTTAATTCATGATACTGACATTCATCCACACTTGTTTTGGGAATGTTATTTGTGATGACTATAGTAAAAGTAAATATATGCGATGTGACTAGTTTAGATTCTCTGACATATAAAAATTTTAATCTATATTTAAACCATTAATTTTGCCTTTAAACAATTTAATTTTAAATAATTTGTACTGTTTTGTCGTTTTACAAACAGGCCTATTTGAGAAATTGTGTCCTCTTTTTTCTCTTAAACATTGTTTATCTTTCTTTTTTGGGGAGAGAGCTGGCTTTGCAATGCAACAAACAGTACAGGTTAAAGTGGGACTTTTCATGTGCGTGACCGCCAATAAGTTTCTAGTTCATCCAATAAATATGTGTTTTTTCCTGTGCAAGTATAAGAAAAATTATTGTTAAATAAGATTCAGATGTTTTGAACATTGAATTGGACATTTTAAGCTTTATTGTTTTAAATTTACATCTTTGTCTATTAATTAGTTTTTTTTTCTTTCCTTGCTTTAATGATATATGTAGAATATTTTTTAATGTTTTATTACTTTTATATTAAACCCTCTGAGTACAAAGAAAAAAAAGTGTGTCTGCAACTGTTTATTTATATTTTCTGTGAGAGGAAGAAACCAGATTTGCTTCAAATTTCAATTTTTTTTCTTATGAATTAAATTACACATAAACATTTTTCCAAACATGATAATGTAACGTTTTAGAAAAATGTAAAACTTTTTGAGATGAGTTCGGCTTTTATAGTTGTTCTTTCAACATAGTAATGCCTTATTGATGATTTATCTTTCAAAACATATTTTTTATCTCAGAAGCTGCATCTTCTAAATCATCTGGCTTATCAGAAAAGGAAGAGGAACCAGCGCTACAGCCTTCCACAACACCCGAGAAAGTTCGACCAGTTTCGTCTGCCCCTGAAGGGGAGAAAATTGTTCCTACTAAAGAAACTGTAATAACTAATGGAGTTCCAGAAATGGAAAAAGTTCCATCTGAGATGGATGACTCCAGTTCAGATTCTGGCTCTGAAGAAGAGGAACAGGCAGAGGCAGAACAACAAGTGGAAGATCAAAATGAAGTAAGAGAAATGTCAAGAATTAAATTATTTAGACAGAAGGGAACCAATTATCTGGAATGCTCGGGACCATCGCTATCCCGGATATCTGAATTTCCCGGTTTTCTGGATCAACCAAAAAGTGCCGTTAATCGATGTTTTATCGAACCCGAATTACAAGGAAAAAGTGTAACACATTTTAAAGTAAGAGAAGAAAGAAAAACACTCTTAAATTTAAAAAGAAAAAAAAGGTAGAAAAATAAAATTTTGAAAGAATTAAAAAAAATTTGCAAGTTTAGACTATAAACAAGTTTAAAAAATACAAAATTCTTATATTTATTTTTTAAAAATAATTACAATTCCTAAATTCACTAGTATAAACAAAACCAATGATTAATTAACGCATTACATTTCATACCTAATTATAGGGAGGGGAAATGATAAAATAAAAGGAAAACTTATTAATCAAAATAAAAACAACACTTGAAAATTATCGAACCGAAACGATAGGCACTAACGTAAATATTAAAACCCGGAACAAGGCAAGATCAACGGAATTTTTTCTTTAAAAAAAATAATAAAATTTATGAATAAAAAGAATTAATTTACTGAATGCAAAATTTATCATGAAAAAAGAAAATCAAGCGTAGTGGAATCAGAAAAACAATACTGCAATCTGCTTCATAATATAATCGTATGTTTAAATTAATAAACAATTCTCCTTTTATTTTTATTTTTTTTATAAAAACACGATTTTTAATGGAAGTAGATGTGATTCCACATCAAGAAAAACTTACAAATGATACCGTGCTTCCAAAGAATCAGAATTTATTCAAAAGAAAAATATTTTATTTTTATTAATCGATGTCAAATAGATAAATATATTTTTCTCTTTCATCTTCTGTTTACCGATATACATGTACAATGCATTTTCCTCACCCCCTCGTAAATCAAGGAGAAAACGAAATCAGCATGCCACTCCTTTGAGTTTGATTGACGACCTAAATGAAACATTCGTCCCTTCCCTGCCTCCTCTCGATCTAAAGATCTTCAAGGTAACGGAAGAAATGACGTTTCTCTGGGTTAAACGGGGGGGGGATTCTCCCCTTCCTCACATTTTCCTCTACTCAACTTCAAGGATGAGTTCAATTTCCCCTTTTTTTTCCATAATCGTTCTAGTTTAAAATGGCAGGAAAATTTAGCAAAATTTTTCCCGGTTATCTGGATACTGGATAAATGGTTCTCTACTGTACTAATTTTTTTAAATATGTTTTAACTAGTTTTAGAGATAAAGTTTCAACTGAAACTTAAGATTAGCAAAAACATTTTATATTAAATTTTGTGTAATATCTATGAATCAAATTCTAATTAATTATACAGGGTGGATGAGATTTATGTGATCAATTTTGCTATTCAATTAAGTGGAAAAAGTGATCATAACAGTAAACATGTAATGTTCAAAATAATGTAAAAATCTCTCTATTGTGTATATATATATGTTTTTATTGAGTTATTATTAACTGTTACAAGTAACAGATATTGATATATTACAAAATATTGTAGGGAACTGCAGCTAAAGAGTCAGAAGCTGGTGCTGAAATGTCTGCTCTAGTTCTGTATACTCAGCCAGTGCGATTTCATACATTTGAACATGCTGAAAGTGAGTTACTCTGATATTTTTACCTCACAGAATGTTTTATAATTAGATAACCATTAAGTCATCACAGTCTGTGCTGTAACGATTAAAAAATATTTAAACTGACCGAGAACACTTCCTCTAAACGTCAAACAGAAGTTATGTCATGTCAGCTATTATTATGTTGTAATTGAATATAGTGTGGTGATGTTCAGTTCATCACCACACACATTAAGATAAGAATAAAAATGAATAACAATTAAAAATAATATACTCTTAAGTAAGAGAACAAGATCATTAGAATGATCACTAATTGCAAGGTGTTAAAACTATTTATTTAAAGTTGATCATTTAAGATATTTAGAGTTACAAATTTTGTTCCAGGAAGGCATTCACACTAATTAATAATAGGTACATAAAATGAATTTACATGAAATTATACATTATGAAGCTGCACTGCTACAATATAAAATAAATAAAAAAATAATTAAGGGGTGATAGAAAATCTTATAATATAACTTAGCTGTTGAGGATCCTCATATTTTTTTTTGTGTCTTAACCTCAGCTCTCCAAAACCATGTGTGTCCTTTCCTTTTCTCTCACCTCCTCTAACCAAGCCCCCAAAGCATACTCAACTCTTATTGGCTGTTACCACCATCACAAAATAAGTAGGGCTATACTTGCTATTTTTTTTTTTTTTTTATTTTTGGCTAAATTATTTAAGGGCAGAAAAGGGCAGGTGAAAACTTATGAAAGAGAAACTAAAACTTTAAAGTAATTATAGCAGTGCAGAGCAGTGCAGCAAAGATAAAAGTAACAAAACATCATAAAAGCAATACCACATATATATAAAAGTAACAAAACATCATAAAAGCAATACCACAATAGATGTAAAGTAAAAAAATTCTAAATGTTGATTTCATGCCCAAATGTCGACTGATAGATGAACCAACACATTTCAAGTGCAATTACGAATTAACTGGTCATCACTCAACAACTTTTAGGCATGAGCAAAAGAGTGCAGTAAACTCCCAAATATCTACACTTCTTTTTCTTTTCTTTTTTTTTCAGTGATAAACAACATAGCATTTAGAATTGAAAATAAAATTCATAAAGATGGAATTATTTTAAGAACTACATGCTAGCAAACATTCATGTTCATAACCCAGGTGTGCACAATTGATCAAATAATAGGTATACTTTTAAACATTGCATCTTCAAGTGCAATACTTAACTAAAAACGAGCATTGAAAGGGTGAAAATGAGGAGGCATTCGTAAAGAGCAAGACAACATGAGTCATGATTTACAGTTGTTAAACTCAAAGTTGTCCTTCAAATTCAACAAATAGATTCAGCGTCCAACAAAACAGTTTATTTTCCTGGATCATATTCTTACTATTCAAAGCATTGCTACTGATAGTTAGTTAGGAAATTAAGTTTTTTCCCTCTTGCCTTCCTATGATGAATGAATAATTCATATGAATAATAATAGAATTATCCTCAATCATTTATTTACTCAACGTTTAACACATTCTTGGAACTCTTATCAGTTATAAAATTGACAGCTAACAAATGATGGTAATCCCCTCACAACACTTATCCCCTTGAAAGAAAAAGAATGAAGCAGGGCTTTGAATAATTTATGGGCCACATGCATGATTTCAAAACTGCATGTGGTTGTTACGGTTGTTTATTTTTAGTTTGTAGCAGATATGAGTTTTTAAAAATCATGTATGCACAGTAACTCTTTATAAGAACTAATTCACATGTTTCGAACAATGTTTTGTGTGTTCTTTTTTTCCATAGTGTATGAACACTCTAGTTAAAAGTCTGCTCCTGCAAGACCAAGAAACAAAAAAGTTGATAGACTTTTAAACAGAAATGAAAAACAAATTTATAAGGAAAAAATGTCAAGAAAATTGCTAATAACAGATATTAAAATTGATTATTTATATTTAAAAAGTTTATGATGTGTGTCTTTTTTAAATGTCTTGCAGAATATCCGTGAATTCGCTTATCTGCACTTTGTGGGCCACTCAATTCCGGGGATGATCAGGAGTTTACTGTATATTGTCTCCGTTCAAAAATGTATAAATGTAGTCTGAAAAAAAATTGTTTTTAAATGTGTTTATTCTAAAGTTGCTTCTGCCATTTTCATGTTAATTTTTTTCAAAGTCAGTTTGTGTCAGGACTTGTTTGTTTAAACATCATAGTTTTCTGCTTGTTTTATTGAGTAGTTAGGCAGACTTTGTACATATTTAATCAAAGATATCAGCTTTTTATGTGTTAAAACCAATGAAACGTTTGAGTTTTAAATAATCTTTATCTCTTTTTATGATAAAATAACACTCTTAAAAAATAGACCTATTTCTAAAACTGTACCATAATTAAAAATATGAAAAATTTATATTTCTAAATTACAATTTAATTCGTTTTCAAACTTAATTTGTTGATTTTTTAAATATTGTTAATTTACTTAACAAATATGAACTAATATAATGTCCCACTAAATATAAAATTGTTTGGATTACTTGTAATTCTATGCAAGCAATACAAAGCTTTGTATTACTTTTATTACCATTTCACTCCGAATTCACTTAATTTTAACTTTTTCTTAATATAATAAATATTTTATTTATTAAATAATTAATAGCGTTTACCTTTAATTGTTATCTCTCTAATCTTTCCATTGCTATGTCCAACTTCTTTTTCACAATATCATTTTATTTTGCCATTTAACAACATTATTTTTGTACATAGAAAGGAACCGGTGTTATGAGATATCATCTTTTGTTGAAACACAAGCTACAAATCTATTAAAGGAGCATCCTGTGGAATTTGTTAAGTAAGTAATTCTTGATACAACGAAAACAGAGAATTCTGTTTTAAAATGTTGTTAAATATTATCTGGAAAATTTGTATATNATATATATATATTCACTTAAAAGATAAAATCAAAGGTGTTATTTTATTCCCATTTTCAATATTTTCTTTATTATAATTATATTACATTTCAATGTTCATTAATTACAAAAATAAGAGAGTGCTAATTCAGTTGTAATAATTTCTCTTGACTCAACAACACTAATTCTACAATTTTACTATATTTGATTTATATTTGATCAGTTTTTTTTAAATTTTATTTCTTAATATATCTTTGGAAGATCCTATTATTTTTTTGTGCCTTATCTCTGAAGGGCAAGAACCCTCTAAGTTAAGTTACATTTTCTATCCGAAAATTATAAAAGAATTAATAGATTTGTGCCAAGGCTTTGTTAAGCTTTCTGTAGCTTTCAAATTAAATCTAAATTACAATTGAATATTTAGAGATTTTCTGTACTGGATTAAGTTATTTTTCTAGACATAATATTTCCATTTATATTCTAAAATGTACTCTTTTTTTCTCTTCTCCCCATTGTAGTTATAACAAAAAGCAACTAAGTCGTATATATCCCAAAGGTACCAGAGTGGATTCAAGTAATTATATGCCTCAGGTAATTGTGATGTAATATTTGTTTATAAGCTTAAAAAATTGTGTTTAATTATCATTAAAAAATTTATTAAACATTATTGTTAAGTATAGCATGTAAGAATATATCAAATATTGAAAAAATTTAACAAATGAGAACTTTAAAGCGTTAAAATTATTACATATTAAGAGTAAAGTTTTTCTTCCTTATTCATTAAAAATAATTTACAAAATATATACACCACTGTCCAATATCTCATCGATAATGTGTCTGTTTAAAGCTGTATTAGAACAATTTTTTTCTTCATATTTTATGATTAATACAAATTTTCTACAGGTATTTTGGAATGCTGGATGCCAGTTAGTGGCCTTAAATTTTCAAACTTTGGGTAAGAACTTCATTCATTTTTATTCAGTTTAATTATTTTTATTTGTGTTAGATTTAAAATAAGTAGACATTTTTATGCTGGTTTTGACAGACATTTGAAAGAAGCTTTAGTATGTACAGATTGCAAATAACTCTTGACATGTTTCAAGTACTCAAAAACGGGTGCTTATTTTTGACTGTTATTTCCAATTTGTATATTTTTGAAGCAAATGAAGTTTTTAACCGAGAATATTTTACCACTTCAGTTTCTTGGAATCATTTATTTTATTTTTAGTATGGATTTATTGCTTGTTATAATATGCAAATAAAAGCTAGAGCTTTGTGTTTTTATTGTGATTTTATATAAAACTGACAGATGTTTAATGCAATAGAAAGGAGATTTCCAGGTTCCCTAAACCAAAAATGCTATTGACAGGGTATCCGCACACCTGGAAAGTCATGAAAATCATGGAAAGTCATAAATTTCGGTATTGAACAAAATTTGTCATGAAGTGTCGTGATTTTAACAAATCATGGAAAGTCATGGATTTAGGTCGCTGAAAAATCTAATTTTTAAAATGGAATTTAAAAATTCCCTCCATTTCATGGTGTTCTAAATATCTGAATTTGTAATAAAATCCCCACTCGCAGTCATATTTTATTAAAATATAAAATGTTTTTATCATGTTCTCTAAAAGTTATGGTGTTCTTTCAAAAAATGAAAAAGGAAACATTTCTAGAGTGAATTATCTTTTAAACTTCTGTGATTTCAGAATTTTTGTTATTATTTATTTTTATTTTATCAATTTAAAATTCTAAGCTGAAGCAAGCATATTTTTTTTAAATTCTGAAATGAGAACAGAAAAATCAGGAGTATTTCTTTCTTTCTGATGAACAAGAAAAGTATCTTTAGAATATTTTTTTCTGCAGAATTATATTCTAAAGCTTTTGCTTTTGTATTTTTTCAGTTATTTTATTGCTTAAACTCTTTCTTTACTCTGTTTTTTTAAATTTAAAATCTTTAAATATGACGATGCAGAGTGCAACAGTTTTGGTTATACTTATCATTTCTGTTATTATAATGCTTTTTTAAATTTCTTGTGTTTTTGCCGGAGAAAATAGTAACTTCGTTAAGTCATGAAAAATTCTAGTAATTAGTCATGAATTTGAAAATCTAAAATGTAGCAGATACCCTGTATTGAGACTAGACCTTTCTTTATTAATTTATAAAAGTATCATTTGCTAACTTTAGTTATTTAACTTTTCATTGTCATTTCATTAAAAGAACTAAACTGTCTCTGCTAATTTTGATCTCTTGAATATAATCTTAAGTTTTGATATATTAAGATATTTTTTACTGAATACTTATACATATTTGCTTCTTAAAATTAAAAAATTTCATTGTTTGAAGTCTACGGAAACAGCATTTCCTCTCTCATTGAATCTCATAATAAGTTTTTTTTAAAGTCAAAACTGTTCAATTATTTTATCCTGAATAACAGTGAACTAACCATTTCATTTGATTTCTCTTTAATAAATTGATAGAGAAAGATTGAAGTATTCCGCTAAAGTTATGCTTATATGCCTCAAAATTTGAACATTTCTAAAAATTACTGTCATTCAAAAAAGAGAAAAAACAATCTATTAACATTTCTGCTTCCCATAAGCTTTGTTTGCATAAAATCAGATTCAGTCATGATTTTCAAAATAGTTTAACAGTTTGAACTTTTAGGAGATTTCCAGAAGGGTAGAATGCTTTTTTTCTTAAAGTTTACACAATGAAATTCTGAATTTTAATCATTGTTAATTAATATTACTAAAAAGTGTTTTTAAAATTTCTGCTTTTCAAAAATAAATCAATTGTTAATTTTTCTTGCTGAACACAGTTGGTACTAACTTTTGGGGGATAAAAATAATATAATTTTTATAAGCTTTAGTTATGATTTTCACAATAATTTTATTGTTTTAGACTAAATAGTTTAGGAGTTTATTAAAAGAGGAAATACTGTTTTCAAGTATGTGGAATTTTTTAATGTTTGGGAACCAACATCAAATGTTAATTGTTAAAAAAAGGATCTTAATTACTAGCATAACACCTTTAATAAGGAGAGAATTTAAAATATGTCCATAGTAAAGTTAGTGTTTATTGCATTCTGTTACGTGACTCTATATTATAATAATAAAATATAAATTTATTGTTATTTATAATTTTTACATTTGTGTTATAACTGTAAATTACTTCATTATTTTCATAACATCTTTTATATCCATATTAATAAAATAAAAATTCTATGTTTGTACATTTATACATGCTCTTAAAATCATAATTCACATTCTTTTGGTTTTTTTCTAAAATATAGATAAATAAAAGTAATTTTAGAAATTATCATTTGAATAAAGAAATTTTTTTATAGATCTTGGTATGCAGCTTAATTTGGGAATATTTGAATACAATGGAAGAAGTGGATATTTAGTGAAACCTAATTTTATGCGCCGAAAAGATAGAAAATTTGATCCTTTTACAGAGTCTACTGTTGATGGCATTATTGCGGGTACTGTTTCCATTAGGGTTGGTATTTTTTGCCTATAATTTGAAATAAATTTTCTCCTTTAAAGACATTTAAATTAAATTGTGAGTGTTTTTTTTTATAGATAATATCTGGTCAACTACTAACTGACAAAAGAGTAGGTACTTATGTAGAGGTTGACATGTATGGCCTTCCTGCTGACACTGTAAGAAGAAAATTTCGAACAAAAACAGTTCCCAATAATGGTATTAATCCAATTTATGATGAAGAACCTTTTGTATTTAAAAAGGTACATATAATTTTAAAAGTAATTTTTCAATTATACTTCCTAGTTTTCAATTTTTTTTTTATTAACTGTTTTAGAATATTTTTAGTCAAGTAGTAGTTTCATGTAAAATGAATCTATTAATGCATTTTTTTTACTATTTTCTTTAACTTCTCCCCTCCCTATTCCTCTGAAGAATGAGTTATTGCTGAATGAAATTTTCTTGTTAAACACCACACTTCAAATAATAAAATTGTTTTCTATTTTACACATCGAAAAACATCACAGGGATTTTACCTCAAGGTCAAGCACTGAAGGTGTTTTTCACACATAGGATACTGAAGAAGAGCAAATGTTTCTTTTCCTTTTTGAAGTTCTATCTATAAAGAGTTAAGCTTTATGAATTTGATTAAAAATCAAGAGAAGTTTTGTGATAATTTAAAAGCTGTGGTATTAATGCAATTATTTGTTATTTCAAAAAAATTAAAGTTAAATAAAAGGGCAATAAATATTGTTATTTAAAAAATAAATGAATAAAAAACTTGTTAATCATTTTTAGAAATGAAACAATAATAAATATAAATAATTTAGTTTAACATTTGTGTAAAACTCCTAAAGATGTTGAAAGAAAGTATTTTGAGGAAACGTTTTCCTGAGCTGTTTGAATTCTCCCTGCAATCTATAGGTTTTTGATAGCTTTCTGATAGGACAGCAGTCATCACATTCATTTATCAGCTGGAAAATGCAGTACTACATTAAACAGGCAAACTACTTTTAATATAAATTTAAATAAAATATGCTATTCATTTTCTTTTTGGAATATATCTAGCCCTCATATTCCTATATAAAATTTAATTTGCCCTTTGGCAATTAAACATTTAACCAATTTTGCCTTATGTTATAGTGAATGTATGTTAAATATTCAAAAACTAATTGTATTTATTTGATTATAAAGGTTGTCTTACCTGACTTGGCTTGTTTGAGGATAGCTGTTTATGATGATAATGGACGATTTATTGGTCACAGAGTCTTACCAGTTGTGGGTCTTAGACCAGGTATGTAGAATATGTTGAAATCTAATTTAATGAGTTATAATAAAGTATAATCTAATGTGATAAAAAATTCCTAAAATTTAATAAAATACAATTTATAATATTTATTATATAATTTTAGGGAAAACACAGTTTTCACAGAAAAAAAAGAGAAGGATATTATCAGAAAAAATATAAACTTCCTTTGTCATTGCATTTTAATCAGAACTAAAAATAGAAACTGGTGCAATTATTGTTTTTTTTCTTTCTATGTTATTATAAATAAAAAGAGTGAAAAGTCTTAATAGAAATAAATTATTCCAGTGTCTCTTATTAGCCGTGTGACTTTTTCCTTAATGTAACCCTATCAAAATCATTCACTTGAGTTTTTTTTTTTTAATATGTTTCTCGTCAAACATATTTAAATCTAGCAACGAAAAAAAAAAAACATCCTGTAAATAATTATTATTATTTGAAGTTTAGTGCTTTTTTTTCTTCCTTTCTTTAATATTTTGAATTAGCAATCTGCGGCTTTAGCTGATACGTAATATTTGCATTGAATAACACATGAAAATTAGGTTTTAAAGTTAGATTGAAATTAATCTTTTAAGTATGCTTGAATTGAAGATAATGTGCTTGAAACTTTAATGTTTCATATGTTATCTAATTGAGGAGCTTACTTTAAAAGCAGAAATTATGAATAGTTCTTAAAAATTTACCTAGGTGAAAGCACTTGAGAATATGTCATTAATGTTTTTAGTAAATTAAAGATTAAATTATATTTAAAATTAAACGTCAAAAAATTTTAAAAAATTCACATAGAGAAAAATTTTACATAAAATAAATTTCTTTTTAAAAAAGTGTTAATGGCCTTTTATATATTGAGCTACTTGTAAACATTTGTACATCAGTTTCACGACTGAGCAATGTTTACATCATGTGATCAAAAGCACCTAGATGTAATTACTGAATTGGGTAGATTACTGGTAAGAGAGTGATATATTAATCTACAACATTTTGTCACCTTCAAAATATTTTTATAATCTGAACTAAAACTTCATCAGTTGTAAATTAAATGAAAGCTCATAGAAGTTCACAATTTAAGAATATATTGTTTAATTTCAATTGTTGATCTCTTTCATCATTTATTTCTTTGTTTAAATTTAATTACTCTTTCTTTCTTGAAAAAAGTTATTTTCATAACTTTGTGATAAGCTTTATTTTTTAATGGTGCTATCTAAAATTTTGTGATTGATTTTTAGGCTATAGACACATATCTTTGAGGAATGAATCTGGACAACCTCTTCAGTTCCACACGTTATTTGTACAAATTACAGTTAAAGATTACATACCAGATGGCTTCTCTGGTGAGTAAGATATACATTTTATTATAATTAATTCACTGACTGAATGAAGATTACATTGGCCTGCAAATAATCAAGATTGTTTGTTTTTATATACTTCAGGACTTAAAGTATTTCATAACTATTCTTTTTAAAATAATTGAACAGTAAGTTTTTACTCAACTGATTGTAAACTAAGGTGTGAACCAAGACTACTTTTAAGTACTGTTGTGTTTCTTAATCCTCTAATAATATAGTGATAACATTAAATTTTTTTTATTTTTAGAATTGGCTGATGCTTTAGCTAATCCTATAGCCTATCAATCCATCATGGAAAAACATGCATGTCAGCTCATGGCCTTAACTGATGATGATGATGTAAGTTTATTCCATTTTTGCAATTAAATCATTGTATTTAAATAAAATTATTTATATTCTAGAATGTAAATCATTTTATATTCAGGAATATAAATATGAGGCATACAGTACATAAACCTATCGTATAGCTAGAAAGTCCTATACCTAATGTTTATGTTCCGTAATGTATTCTAGCAATTATGAGATGAACCCTTGACCTCATTGTGAGCAACCTGGCTGAGAGTGCCTCTCGCGATTACCAGACAGTACATAAACCTATTGTATAGTTAGAATGAAAGTCATATACCTAACTTTTATAATCCGGAATATGAATCCATTTTATATTTTAAAATATAAACATTAGGTATGGGACGTTCAACTCAAACTACTTAATGCAATCAAAATTTCCTTATAAATTCAAATTTATTTAAATTTCTTTAGAATATCGATGATGTGAAAGGATCAGGAAAATCACCAGCTAAGGTTAGTATTGGATCAATCGACAATACTCAAAGTACTCGCAAAGAGGACCAGACAGATTCAAAAGGATCACAGCCATCCTCTAGGCATAACACCATCAATGGAAATATTCAACGTATGACATCATCTGGCAGCACATCACCTGCCGCAATGCCTGCATTGAAACGGCAAGAAACTTTAAGAAGTAAAAAAATTTTTAAACATGCAACTATATTTAGATCTACTAATTTATTAATTGATCACTTTAAATGGTTATTGATTAAATTTTTAACAGTTGACTTTCTTATAACTGTTCTATGTGGTATCAAGATAAGCTTTTTTAATAAAACATCTGTCAAAGTGAGGGATAAAAATGTGAGTTAATGAAAATCACGCATTTTTATCCTCGATTTGATTTGATTTTTGATTATTTTACTAATTGTATATTACTAACTACTACATTTACTAATTTAAGCACTGGTTAAATATAAATAATAATCCTTATTATTATTTAAAAACAATGCTGAAAGTAAAATATTTAATAATAATAAAAAATTGTTAATATTATTAATTATCACGAACTTATTACTGAAGAAATCGAATCACAGTTTAGATATATTTATTCGAGCTGAACACCCTCATGATTTATCAGTAATCTCATATCAAATCAAGAGTATATCAGAGTTCTTCCTAGGAAAAAAATGGAGGGGCAGGGTTCTTCCTTACAGAAATTTGAAAGGGCACTCACTTAACACCGTAAAAATGTATCAAAATGTGTAATATTATGTAATAATTGAATCTGATCCTCAACAATTTTTAAATGACCCTTTTATACTATTTTATGTATGTATTTCTAAAAGTAATTCTCAACTTATTATCGAAATAAGAGAAAAAAAATCTGTAGTTAATAAAAAGTAATTAAAGGCATACTTAAAAAAATTAAAGGCATGCACAAATTTTTTTCAAAAAAGTAAACTATAAAAAGTAAAACCAAACAATGATTAATTGATAAACAATTTGAAAGCTTATTTCAATAATTTAAACTGAAAATTATGAGAAAATAAACATTTAAAGGTGTACATTTTTTTTAAAAATAAAGGTATTTATTTAACATTAACAAATGATTTTAAAATTAAAAATCATTTAAAAAATTTATTTACTTACCATTCTCCTCCAAAAAAAGAGAGAAACTAATAAAAACTGAACCAATCAAGAATAATCCTAATAAAATAAAAATTCGTAATAGTAATCAGAATTAAACCTATAAAAATAGATCATTTTACCAGTGTATTATTATTTAAACAGTGAACTATTATTATTATTTTTTTTAATTGAAATGAATAAAAAAGCAATGTATAAAGGATGGCAGCTTATTTATTTATATTTTGCATGTGTCTTAAAAAAATTATAATTTAAAAGTTAACCTCAATTCTTAATTTTAATCTCCCTCACCATATTCTCTAAAACCCTCATTAAATGAGATCTGACTTAAATATCTCAACTTTAAGATATATTTAATGATACATAAAAATTTTTTTTTGACTTAAATGAATGTTTTTATTTTAAATTAAGTGATACAAGTCAAGCAATCAAAGTCAATCCAAGTAGAACCATTTATAGCAGAATCTGACAATATTTTGTATTTTTAAAATTTGGTTCTGCTAAGCAAAAACTGAAACAACATGTGATTGGACTTAGAAGATCAACTTTCTCGCTCAAAAACAAAATCGGCTTATCTGTTAATGATTTAAAAATAAAGTCTTAGATAAATACAAGAAATAAAGGAAAATACCAAAATATTAATGATCTTAACTTTGAGGGAAGTTACTATGAAAGAATAAAGAAATTTATTTATCTGGGATTGCTTGTTATCAAAATTAAGTTTAGGTTAGAAATTTGTGAAACAATTGCTTCTGGAAGGAAATGTTATGGAAGGAAATGAAATGCTTTACTTCCGAAGTAAACATTAAGCTAAAACTCCTTATTTGTAAAATTATAATTCTACCAATTGTGCTATATGGATCTGAGATATATTTTTTAAATTATGAGTGATTCTGACCCTTTAAGAATCTGTGAAACAAAATTTTATTAAGATTTTTTTTGCTGAAATATGTGAGGATGAACTTTAGAGATCCAGAACAAATAAGAAGATTTACGATAGATATAAAAAATCCGACATTGTACAGAATAAAAGGAATCCATTGGTTTGGGACATATACTGAGAATGGACTTGGAAAAAGTGTTAAAGGCTATTAGATGAATATCCAGAGGATTTAAGAGGCCTGAAACTAGATGGAAATAGCAGATAGAATTAGACTTGAAATTACTTAGAATTACCAACTACATAAGAAGACGATCTACAGAGGAGAATGGTTCGAAATCTTGTAGACCTAAAGCTTTAGAGCTTGAATAATGACCAACTTGATGTACCAAGTTTAGTTGACAAGGATGCAATTAATTGATTAATTAAACATCTTTTCAGTTTCTTAAAGGAACAACTTTGGAATTATATTTCTCTCCCTATATAATAGCATCTTTCGCTATATAATGGCATGGGAAAGGTGATTTTCTTTCATAGGGGAAAAATGAAGCCATATATTCTGGGCTGTCAAAATTTAATTTAAAATATCGCAAAAAGCAAACAATATTGTTTTCAATAAATTTATAATGCTGAAGTCAACAATATCTTCTCTTTTTAAGACCTTCAAAAGCTTTCTTTATTATATTTTCTTTAAACTGTCTACTATTATATGGGCTGTATCTGAGATAACAAAAATTGTTAAGTGGAGTGGCCAGTTAAATTGGGATCCAGTTATACAGGAATGTTGGTAATAACAAAATTTAATGTTTTTTGATGTAGTTCTTTATATACTTGTTAATTTATACATTTTGTTCATCAGTTTTTTCTTTAAAGGGGGTCTTGCACAGTCAGTAAGAAGTTTGTCTGATGAAAATGCTCAAGAAAAGATTCCTTCCTTATTAGGTAATGATTATTGGAGTACATTTTTATTCCAGATGGTAGATAAATTAAAGAATCTAGAAACAGAAAAAATATTTTGCGTATTCTATAATTTGAATGCTCATCAATTTGAAATAGCCTTAAATTGCATAAATATTTTTTCATTATTTGATTATTAATTCATATTAAGGTTAATTAAGAAATAAAATAATATAGTATGAAGTATGTTGATTTATCTACTATTTACAGTTGAAGTAAAAAATCGAGATAGGCAATTTTCATTTTCTATTTTATTTGTACCACTAAGAAAAGAATAATAAAACTGATTAGAAATATACTTTGTGGTCATATTTTATAAATATTATGTGGCTTTTTTATAGAATCGGAAGAAGCTAATTTAGCTGCTGAAACTTTAGACAAAATTAGAGAACAAAAACCTGTACAAAAAGTTATAGCCAAACTTGAAAAAGACTTATTGGTACTTCGGAAAAAACATGAGAAGGTATGATGTTTAGAAGGGTTTTCTTTTTTTTGTTGATAAAATGAAATTTTTGTATGCATTATTATTTCTTATGTAAGTGTAAATCTAATAGAATTTTATTTTTGTTAGCTATTTTTATTTGATTACTGTATGATTAAGAAAATTTGTAGGAACATTCAATATGTAAATAATTTGGTATTTACAAGTTAGTCAATTTCAAATATTTCAATTCGACAACACTGAGCTTTTTTTTTATTAAAGGATTTGTAATTTATTTTAGTAAATATTGAAAATTTTTACTATCAAAAAATTTTAGTAATTATACAGAAACAATACAATGTTTATGTTTTCTTGTAAAAGTTAAACACTAAAAAGAAAAAGTAACATTATAACTTGTTCTTAGTACATTTATCTTAATCTCATATTCTTAGAAACGTACCTTGTACTTAATGTTTAAAATTTGCATTTTTTTTTATAATTTTTAGCATGTATTTTTCTATGAAATTATATCTTTTTAATGTTTATTAATAATTTGATGCATCAAATTGTAACATCATGCTAATAATATAAAGTCAAATAACTATAAAGTCAAATAACTAACTATATTTTTTTTCTTTAGATAATGTCTTTTTATATATAAAATAAAGAATATTTTTGTTTAAATTTGGTTAACAAACTTCTTTCAGCTACGAGAGAAAGAAAAAGAGCAGTTACTTCTAAAAGAAGAGAAACTGATGAAAGCCCAAGAGCATCAAAAAACACATATTGTTAAGAGCCATTCAAAACTCGCAAAAAAAAGCTCGGGAATCGATGTGTAAGCAATAATTCTCTCTTTCAACTTTTATGAATTTATTTTGCCAATGATTTAAAAATATTACTTTTTTTGTTTGTTGACAGGCAGCTACTTAAGAGAAAGAGCGAAGCTGGTCTTCAAGCTATGAGTGTAGAACACCAAACAAAAGTGTGTACAAATAACAAGTACCTGTTTCACTTTTTTGTTTGCTGAAATTAACAGCTTCCCTGATTATCCTGAGTTAACTCGGATGTGTATATATTTCAAAAATTGATCATCCCGAGAAAACTCGGGCGTAGCAGAATTTCTCAGAACATTTTGTCGCGTTTTTACTCGGTCGGAAGCAAAAAACTTAATCTGCTGTAATTTGGGAGTTTTGCTGTTGGATTGTGGAATTGCACACATGTTTTGTGGAATTGTATATACAATTGTTGCTGAATTTACATAGAAAAAAGAGTTTTAAAAAAATGGTTTGTCGCTTCACTGACGTTTGAAAAATATCACTTTGTGTTGTTCCTTGTTTTAAGAACTATTATACAAAGACTAATATTTAACTTTTTTCATTTTCCCGAGATAACTTGAAATAGTAAACTGATAGTAAATTAAATGTTTCTTACACATAAAGAAATTAAAATTTCAGCATAAAACTTGTGTATTATGTTGTGTTTTAGTTCCTTATATTAATTAATAAAATAAAAAATGTTGATTTTTTTTTGCATTTTTTCTGAAAAAAATTAGTAAGGAAAGCGGTTAACTCTAATAAGTTCTTTTATTTATTTGCGGCAATTTTTTATTGTTTTCACAAATAAAAAATATGACTTATGTTTAAGTAAAGACATTATCTACATTTTCAAATTAAAAATTAAGAGCATTTCATAAACTTGTGGAGATATATTTTATAGAATAATTGTTTTTCTATGAATACAGTTCATTTAATAATGTGCTATGAAAATTACTGTCATTGAAATATATAAAAGGCTTGAGCCAAAACTGTAATAAACATTTTTTCCTGTTATGACACTTTTACCTCTAACTGTTCCTCAGGATTAATTTCAGATCGGCACTTTACCAGTTTTCATAGCTTTTATTTGATATCTGTACAATATACAGAAGTATTTTATTTTCTAAATGAAATTATGGTATTTTTCACTGAAAACTCTCTTCAACAATTTAAAAATGGAGATTATTATTTTACTGCTCTTAACTCTTCATCCAATGTTATGTTCAGCAGAAGAGTATCTGTTTTTAAGTTAAATAACTTTGAAACTATTAATTATCAAGGAATGAAATAAATATTTTTTTTAATAGGGAGAGCTTTAAAAATTTCATACTTAATTTTTTAAATTAATTAAAAATGTTCCCAACAATCAAAATGGAAAAAGTAAGAAAAATGGCTATAATAGTAATGTACAACTCTAAAGCCTAGAGCTATCAAACAGATATTAAGAGCTTAGAAAGAGGTTATGTCTCAATAGAAGTAACGGAATCATATATCAACTTGTGCTTTTAATTTAGTCCTTATTTTTTTAAACTAATTTTGAAAATAATGTTTGAAATTCTTACAGCTATCTCTATCAAAATTTAATCATCCCCTTTTGTAACTACAGTAGAGTCTCGAAAGTTCNTCAAAATTTAATCATCCCCTTTTGTAACTAATTATTGCAACGCTGTTAAGTTTTGAAACTGTTGGGTATACTTTTGCTACACACCTTTCATTTTAAAATTGAGGATTTTTCGCATTGAATGGGACAAAAAGAATATCATAGTACAAATACCGTAATTGATTTATTTAGTCAAAGCAAATAATTTATGTTTCTTCAATTATCAAAAATAAGGACATCCTTGCAAAATAAAATCTTTAGAATTTGTCAAAACATTGTTTTTCTTGTTCAAAGACAGTGTCCCATGCAATTTTGCATAGAACCACTACATTGTCACGACAATGTCACAACACTACATTGTCAATGAATGCAGCAGTTTCAGGATACTTGCTGTTAACAATCTCAGGACCAGCAGCAGCCAAAAACAAAATGGTTAAAATAATACCTAAAACTTTTTAGGCATTTGAGAAGTTTGGAATTCAATGTACCTCATAGAATGGTGTAGCATATGTTCTGGAAACTTTGACAATTCCAGCCATATATCTTTTAGGTAGCACAAGTGTTTCAACAAACTGTTGCGACTCTTTGTTTTGTGAACAAGCACATATTTACATATAGAGCTATTTTTTTCCTCGTTTTTGTCAAAATTGCTCTCCATTATTTACAATTTTGGATTGCATAAAGTACACTTGTTCTTAGGGAAAATCAGCACAGTTCTCTAAAGTTGAATATTTTTGTACCATTTCTAACATTTGTGTTTTACTCCTTTTTTTATAATAAGATTAATGAATACATATTCACCAAGATATGCAATCAAAATGCTTGTTTTATCAGTGGTTCTTTGCTGCAATCTGCAGAAAGACCATGTTGTGCCTTATTGACCTTGAGACATATATCAGTACCCAAACAATCTCTACTCCAACATGAGATCTATCCTGCTAGTTCTAAACCGTTGTGTATTTTTCCTATGGGGTTTTTAAAAAACAAATGTTAATGCCTCCATTTCCCTAAGACTCGTGGCAATTGAAGTTTTATACAAGATCTCTAAGATCTGAAGATCTCTACTCCAACGTAAGATCTATCCTGCTAGTTCTAAACCATTGTGTATTTTTCCTATGGGGTTTTTAAGAAACAAATGTTAATGCCTCCATTTCCCCAAGACTCGTGGCAATTGAAGTTTCATACAATTGAAGTGTTAGAATAATTTACAATTTCCATATTGTTCCTCACAAGTAAAAATGGAATTGAAATACTATATGAATATTTTTCCTGTCATAGGTGGGAAACACATAGAATATCTATAGAAACTTAGACAACTGTAGTTTAATTGTAAATTTCATTAATCTAATTAAAATAAATGCAATTTTTTCAAGTATGCTTCCTTTTTGTACTTTAAAAAATGAAACCCCTTGTTTATAACATTGACATAGATATAATATAATTTCTAAAGGAAAAATGAAACTAGTAGTTATTTAAATTTTAAGAATTAAAGCTCACATGTGTATTGCATATTTTAATAAGAGGTAACGAAAGGAAAAGGATTAAATATTTAGACCATTATTTCCTTTACTCTTATTTTCAGCTTTAAGGAAAATTGTGTTTATTTCTCGTTTTTTTTATTTATTTAATTATTTTTAATAATATTTTCTCCTATTAAAAAATGTTAAAAACGTTTCTTTTTATAGTTGGATGAATTGCAAAAACTCCATTCCCACACATTGATCAGTTTAACAAAAGAACTTTACAAGGCTGAACTTGAACTTCACCAAAAGTATCAGGAATCTGTAAGTTTGCATTAAAAAGATTTTCTTAAATAAGCTCTGAAAAAAATTAACTACATTATATTCTAAGAATTTAATCTAGGGAAGCTATAAATATCTAAAAATTTACAACTACTTGAGTTAATAAAAGAAAATTGTTACACAATATTTGATATTGTGCAATTAAATTGCTAATCTTTGAAAAATATTCATTAGAATTTTGCCAGAAATTTTATTTAAACCTTTGTAAAACTCTATTATTAATTATTTAGTTTTAAAAAACTAATGCAATAACTACATAATATAAAGTAATTACATTTTAGCTAATGGATAATTGAAGATGTTTAAAATAATGGATTTACTTCTTTGCATTTACTTGTTATAATTTTAAAGATCCTTGACTTTTTTTTTATGTTTAAATAAATGGCCTAAATTAGTTTTTTATAGTTATTTTTCTTACCTTTAATTCTTAATTTTTTGTTTAAATTTTATTTTGTGTTCAATACTTTGCCAAATTTTATAACAAGCTGCAATAAACTTTGATTAATAAATGTCCTAGTTATAAAGCCTAGATTTTTTTATAAATTCTTTGAACTTAAAAAATTCTAACCAATGAACAATTGATCTGTCCTAGATTCAAAGTTGAGTCTGTAAAAAGTTTTATTTTTTCTTAAACTATATCTTTTGTATTTAAAATTTGTGTTTGATTAAATGTTTGGCTTACAGATTTACACTGCTATGGAAAAATCATTAATGCTTTCCCAAACTGCTCAAATGGATCATTTAAAAAGTTTGCATGACAGGTAAGTTTAGCAATTTAATAAATGGTGAAATAAAATAGTCATTAATATTTTTCAACACATATTTTTCTAAATTATTTTTATTATTGTTACTTGTGATAAAAGCTGATCCAGGAAGTAAGTATGATATCTTCTTTGCATCTGACAGCAGGGAAGTCACATATGGGTTGTTACATCTTTCAACTTTAACAATACTTAAACTAATCATCTTGTTTGATTTTGTTTAAAGCCATTGTTTGTAGCAATCAATGGAAAAATCATTGATGCTTTCACAAACTGCTCAAATACAAAATTTAAAAATGTTTGTGTGTCAGTTATGAAATTTATTTTGTTGGGAACGAATTCTGTCACCCCCCAGCCTCTATTATTTGGGTTTTCTCATTTCAAAATATTTTTTGCTCACCAGCTTTTTGCAAGTGATATAGAACAAGATAATCATACATCCATAACTATTTCGATTCATAAGTGGCTGAATACTACATAGCTGGTCTGTTGTTATTTATGCCAAAATACAAGCCCTGCCTTAATTCTCATGATGAATACGTCTTAAAATAGTTTAAAATTTATAGAATTTTCTGTAATAAAATATAAATGAAAACAAATAGCTAATCTTTTCTTTAGTTATTTTATTTATTAGTAAGTTATTGTAAGTCAGGATGCGTAGTGTTTTTTGAAGGTGTTTATTTTGTTTTTTAAAAGCCCTTAAAGGTGCTTTTTTTCATTGGGTGTTTTTAAAAAGTGCTTAATTTTCCCTTTTTCGAAATGAGATTTTTCCTTAACCATGTTGATTTTCACTTTGAATTATGCAAAAAGACACAGTTTACGTTGTTCTATTCAAGGTTCTCACAATTGATTGGACCCCAATCTATTTCGGCGTATTGTCAGTCTGTAGCGTATGAAAACGCCATTCGTTTTGTAGGATTCAAAATTTCATGATTTTTGACAATTGTCAAAAACAATGCCAAAAATTTTTTTTTATTTTTGACATGATGGTTAAAACAAGATAAAACCGTCAATTGTCAAAAACTTTCCATCCCTGCCTAATTATGATATTTTTTTAAAGGGCTTAAAAATATTTTTTGAGTACTTGAAAAGTGCTTAAAAGGTGCTTATTTTTTGTTGAATAATTTGGCTAATCAGGATTGAATTATATAATTTACTCAATATTTTTTTGTACTTATATTTTTAGTATATTGCTTGATCTGCTAAGGGTTTTGATAGTTAGCTACTTATTTTATGTATTGCTTAATAAATTTTTTCGTGATAATTTTATGACATTTCAAAAACAAAAAATTTAGAGACTAAACCAAACATTTCATTAAATTTAATGCCCAACACAGAACAAATGCATGACACCAAAATGAAGCAGTTATTTAATTAAATGTTTGGACTGGAAAAAATATAATAGCTTATACATCAAAGGATTTCATGATCTATTTACACTTATAGCAGATAGCTGTTTAAGACTAATAGAAATTGCAGAATATTTCATCAATTAATGCCTGTTGTCTAGTATTTAAATTTATTCTCATATTTTCTATTATTATAGGGAAGTTGCAGAATTAATGAAAAGGTTAGAAGTGCAGAATAAGGAAGAAATGAAGGAACTTAGTAAAAAACACAAGGACAAGAATGAACTAGCTAGGTATATTCGTTATATTTAATTTATAATTAAATTTTGATGTTTGTTTTCTAGTTTTCTTTTTCTTCATAAAAATGTTTGATGAAAAACAAAAACTTTTTTGAGAATTATTCAATAGGACACTATATATATATA